TTACAACCCCACTCCTATGTCAGGTAAGTCCACAACCACGGGCTATGGACCCGAGCCAGTAGCACGGGTCCATAGCCCGTGCTACTTGGAACTTTTTGTTCCCAGTAGCGAGTCTTAAACAACAACAAAGTGGTGCGAACTAGGACCACAGCGAAGGACAAACCAGTCACCGAGAAGGCGGTGGTTGAGACATCGAACCACTTCTCAATTTTATAGGAGAGAACGTGAGCGGGAGCACTTTTTCTGTGCTCCGGGAGGATAATTTTAGCTACCCATCATCAGGTAGGGCGACGAGGCAGCTCAGAGGCATGAAAAGCTTGGTTGTTGGCGATTCTCTGGTAAAGAAATGGAAAGAATGAACATTACATGAAACCCGTAGGCATGGCAGGATGTACAAAATAGCCCTATTGAAAAGCAGAGGTGCAATAGGTACGCTGAGGCAGAACTCGACATAAAGGGCACAATAATTTTCAACACTCCCGCTGCACACAAGGGGCATAACTGGCTCGCACAAATGTTCAAAAGAGGACTCTACAAACACCTCCAAGGGATACCGGTCAACCAGGCTGTTAATCATACGCCAGGCTGCGAGCAGCAGTGTCCAGCAGCCTGGTTGACCAGACGAAGAACCAGGAGGCCTGGTCGAAGACTGGGCCGCGGGGCCTTTGATCCCAGGAACTTATTAGTCCACAGCATGTACTTTGATGAACATTGGATTTTATTATTTTTATATTTTTCTATAAATTTTGAGAGTATGGACTTCTGTTAGGACGTGTTTTCAATCTCTTGGGAATATTTTTATTCCAGAGATTTCATTGGCAAGGGGAGCTAAAGGTACTGAGGATGTGGAGACAAGAAAATAAGAATATTAGGAGAAATTTGCATTTTTCAATTTCTTTATTATGCACCCCATACCCATCTCATGGACGGTGGTGGATAGCGTTTCAGAGGAACATAATCGGTTCATGAACTGAATCCCCTAGTTCGTTTACCTAAGCAAATAACACTCTTGACGCTAGTTACACAATTATTAACGTATGTGTGTATATATATCTATATAGATATATGTATTTATGGATATATATTATATAATATGTATATATAATAGTCAGAATACGACAGGTTGTGACCGGTCAGTGCAGCCAAGATTGTCAATGGATTGGTTTGTCAATACACGACCCGAGAAAAATAATGCACCAAGAACTTCATAAATAAGAGGGAGGGAAAATCTACACCACTAGCTATAAGTCCCACAGGTTGCAGCTGCTCAGCTTTGCCAGGGAGTTGGCACGGCCTACTGATAAGAGTTGATCAAATAAAACTTTCGATGTTAACAATGGGAGGTATTCCAGTGCTAGTAACTTATGCTAGTAACTGGGCCATGATAAACAGTGAGAGCTGGCATACCTTGAGTAATTGACTGTAAACTCACTATTTATAATGTCCCGTTGCAGCGTTGGGTAATATTACCCTCTTTACACACAGGCTAGTATGTTCTAGTTAGAAAACTAAAACTGCATAAAAATGCATGTGTATATATATATATATCGGATTACGTTTTATCATAATATATTTAAATGAACTTTAAAGCAGGTAAAAAGCTGTGTGTGTGTGAAGCGGCATCACCATTACGTCACTGAGTGATGCAAGCGCGCGCACTGGCCTTTTCATGTGCCTTTTTTTGTGAACTGTGCCAAGGGTATTTTTTTTTATTTTTCTATTTTTTTCTTTACACTAAGAGTAGAGGCTAGAAGCTGTCGTCAGAAGCCTCAACATAATACGCAATATGTCGTCAGAAGCTGACGACATATTGAGTATTTTTCTGGATTTTGATGCGCGGTTTTAAATGCAGGCATATCCCAAAGCCTGCATTTAAAACCTTATCGATGCCTCTTAACACGCATACATTTACTATACTGAAGATTCCATTTTCAATATTTAGTGCACATCATGCAACTTGCGATTATAATACTTCAAAGGCATATCAATACGCAACAGCTAACACAGCCAGCTCAGTCATTTGGTCATATATGGGCAGGGGGGAGGCGATTGGGCACGTTTCCTTACACCTGATGCGTGTTCACCTAGCTGTAAACATGTACCCGGGAGTTAGTCAATTGTATCCTAGTGAAGGTCAGTCGTGGCTGGTGGACCGCGATAAACTCTCTCCCGACAAGGGGAAACCATTTGCCATTATACAGTGTATCAATGTACAGTGTAACATCTAATTTATATTATTGTAAGTACTTAAATCAAAATACGTATATACATCTTAAGCTAAACCAGCTTACTATGTGCACATGCAATTGTTTGCTATTATCAATAAATTAATTTAAAATACATACATCTAGTGTTTGCATGCATCTTCCGTTCACTAAAGTCGAAATCTATATCAATAATTTACACTGGGATGTATGCCGGAAAAATGTACACGAGCAGATAAGTACAGAGGTGAACCCGAGATGACAAAGCTGCCAAACTCAACACTGCCTTGCCACCTTGAAGGCCGCTGGCTCTCAAGGCTACATCTCCATCCTGCCTAACTGGACTCTGAGGTGATGGCATGGTTGAGAGTGAAGGCAGGAGAGGGGTTACATGGTAAGTGAGGGGAGAGTTAGTGGGTGGAAAGTGGGTGTTGTTGGTGTTAGTGTAGGTGATGATATGAGATGCGATTAATATAAGGGAAGGGTTTTGAAATTGAAATAAGTTTATTGAGGTAAAATACACACAAAGGGATGAGGTAGCTCAAGCTATTCTCACCCCGTTCAGTACATCGTGTTATTACATACATATACACACATCACAAACAATAAGCATATTACCAAACATTCTGAGAGATAAACATATACAATTCCTCTACACAAGTAAGGGGAGGGTTGGTTTAGGGGGCGAGGGGGAATACTGGAGCTGGGCCTTAAATTGTAAAAGGGGAGGGAGACGGGTAAATAAATACGTGTCGGTAACATGTCGTGTCGTTAGCAGAACCCAAGCATGTAAGATTAGGAAGGAACTGGCCTAGGGTACAATTTAAGGTGTTAATTTTGTTATGGTTTTTATAAGTTGTCTTCCATATGGTAAGATGCAATGTTAACTTGAAAAAAGATGGAAAGTTCCTTGGCCTGTACATAGACAAGAGACTAAACTTAAACACCCACATAGCTCCCCAAAAGTCTCAAATTGTTGGTATACTCTCTAAAATCAGATATGTTTCCCACTCTGCTCTCTTTTCTAATAGATTATACTATTCGCTAATCTATCCCTATCTTGCATACGATATCTGCACATGTGGTTTAACCACTGCAAATTACCTCAAGACTATCATCACCTGGCAAAATCTGCTCTCAGAATTACCTTGCGATGATTTCGGGGCTCAACGTCCTCGCGGCCCGGTTCTCGACCAGACCTCCTGGTTGCTGGACTAATCAACCAGGTTGTTGGACGGGGCTGCTTGCAGCCTGACGTATGAATCACAGCCTGGTTGATCAGGTATCCTGTAACACCGACTTCAGACAACACAGCCCCTGTTTAAATCCCTAAACATGCACTCCATTCTCTTGTGCTAGTTACATGTACAAAACGGTGTTCCTAAATGCTAGTCCCGATCTTAAACTCTTCCTTGATAGATGTAATAAAACCCACGAGCACTGCTAAAGTTACACCAGAAATAAATCTCACATTCCTAGTGTCAGACTAAATCTGTACAAACACTATGCAAATAAGTGCCCAGCCTATGGAACTTGTTCCCCAATGAATAAGTCTTGTAAGGCTCTCTGTAAGGCCTCAATCTCATCTTCACTTCCACTTTACCATGAGTCTTAGTGGCTGCAAATTTGATGAAGTGGTTTGTAATATTCTCATGTCATTGATGTATGTGACAAAAAGGGTTGGACCCAAAACTTTTAAGTTTAAAAAGAGTTAACTTCAGTTACATCTGTGTTAGGAATTCTACACACTGCTCCCACAGCTGTTGGCCTCAACACCTGTGACTTTGAAAAAAGGAAAGATTTGCTCGCCACAAGTGTCTGGTTCTAATTATAGTACAGTAATTCGAACATGACAGTTCATGATGGTAGTAAAGTGAAGGACCATCGCTACCTCTGAATTGGCCTACAGTTATGGATTGCTGAGTACAGTACTGTAGTTTGGTAGGTTAAAAGTTGAGTTGTCCTCTTTTTAACCATGTTTCAGTAAGTATAACAAAGGAGAATTTGTTGTCATCTGATTGAATTAATGTACCAACATCATCAAAGTGTTTGATTAGAACTAGGACCACGTTTTCCCTAATGAACCCTGACTCTTGAATATGGGTCTCTGCTTATTGGCCATGGTGCAAGATCTCAGGTTTATCCAGTCTGACTGATAACCTATTCATTTTCTTGGTCGCTTGGCCAGGTTTCTGTGAGACCCTTACACTCCAGGTATAGGGGACTTGAGGCTAGCAGTTCCAGCCTTGCTCAAACATGCACGTCCCCCCCCCCCTCCTCCTTCGGGAGGTAATGGCAGCATTTTATTAGGCCCGCCTTGCATATTGACAAGCTAAGTTCACTAGATTCAGGTTGTCCTCTTACCTTTTGTTCACCAACCCCCATTTTCACCTCTCGGCAGTTGTCTGTAAAGCTTTGCTGTCTTTCTGGATACTTTACCAGTGAAATGGAGGAATGTTATTTGCTCTCTGCACTTCATGTGAAGGGGCTAGGTTTTGGTTCTGATCCCTGATATGCCAAATGAATTCATGCAACTGATGTGACTGGTAGATTGGAACAATCTCAGCATGATAGCTACAGGAAGCCACCAGGGGACACCCACAGAAATACATACATACAGTACAGTATATTATGATGCGGTATTTCAACTTTATCTCGGTACAGTTTAAATATATTTATTAAATGTTATTTGCTCTTTCAAAAAAGTATTCTTTTGCACATGACTATTACTCTGTTAAAGACCAAATTTTTTTGTTAAGTACCTAATAAATGACTAAATTTATGTAATTTCTACAGAAAAGATGCTGGCCAACTTGACATCGCTGATCTGGGGCAGTGACAGCACACCATCTACCACCACCACCTGTCCAACTAGTGAAGAAGAATCTGAGACTCTGACATTAGTAAATATCAGAGCCAGCACACCCTCAGACGAGGAAGAGTCTGACTGGGTCTTGGTCGATGCAGCAGGTGAGTTTAGATTTTCTTTCCCTTTGTGGAGATATCGACTAATTTTGGCAAAAATGAATATCCAGTTGGATTACACTCTTGTTCACTTATGAAAAGCCTTTAAAAACTATTGACCATAACAATCACCACAAACTACTGAACATAACTGTGGAATCTTTGCAAAAAAAAGTTATTAGTACAATGTAACATTAAACAAAAACTTTTCTCCTTTACTGACAATCAACATTATCTCCTACAGAAGTATACTGGTACTTCTCCTTTCCATCATATGTTTTATAGCACTCTAAATTACTTTCCTTCCAAATGTATCTGAAGATTACAAGCTAATACTTTGCTGATGACATTACTGTAATTCAGTCTTCTCAAACACTAACCTAAACATCCTAAATGACATTTGGTTTAGTTATCAATCTCTAGATTATTTGTGTTTGTAATTTCCAAATTTTTTGTTAGCATTAGAAATTCGTGAACACTTATGTTGTGGTGATTTTACAAGACTGCACACAGTTATAATGAGGATGATTACCTCCCTCGGTGTGTTGTCTCGGATCTTTCAGATGCACAAAGTTAGTTTGTGTGAGCTGTAGTTTTCTCCAGCACATTTGCCTTTCTTGAAAATAAGAGGAACTTTATATTTTCAGTTTGAACTTTTTTCTTGGTCTAGTAACTTTAATTTTTTGTGGCAAATGCACATACATGTGACTCAGATTCAGCACTGAGAAAAATTATCCAAGACACTCAAACTACCCCAAGAAATATTTTGAAAAGTACAAACCTACCAAAACAGCAAGTGCACCCAATAACTTCCATCTGCTCTCAGTTGGAAGGCTATCTATCAATTGGCAGGCTACAAGCTAAGCTCCAAGCTGAGCTAATTTCACCAGCCTTTGCTTATTAACCTGTACTGCACTCCGTACATGTTGTCTATACAGTATTGTACTTTGTTTGCCATTTACTCATTACAACACAAGATTCAATACAAGTTATCTAAAACATACCATCCTATAATCGTAGCACCCCCCTATACTACATACTCCACTACAGTACGGTATACATTTGTTACCACATCTCTTCCCCACCAAGACATGCTGGCTGGTGGTAATCTCTTCTGTTATGCACTTTCACTGGCATTTACTGTACTTTTAACTCTCTTTAATTCAATATTCATAATGTTGTATCATTAACTATTATCTGGCTATTTTATAAATTTTTGCCATCGATATTGAATCTCCAAAAATGACTTATCAGTAGTGGTGGTTTCTGTTTTACCAGTAACAATTCCGGCTTGGGTTTTACCTTGCAAACTATTGCTTTTATTTCTAGTAGCTTTAACTACATAAATACTCTACCATACCATTTTCAAACAGGGTTTCAATCCATTGAAGAATGATTGTTTTTGATAACTCCTTATAAGTAGAATACATATAAAGATTTATTTTCCTGAATTTTTGTCAGGTTCACCTTTTTGTTGTAGTGTTACAGTACTGTATTCATATGTACTGTACTGTTGTTTTTAGATATTAATGATTTAATAATGGTAATGTCTTCTCATAGACATCATAACATAGGATAAAATCCCACACTTGTGTGTGACATTTATGTAAGGAATTTACACAGAATTTACAGGCCTGAGTGTGATTAAGACGAGGCTTACATCTCAACGTCTAATAAAAAATCAATTGGACGTCTAATCGTCTAATTAATTGGAAGACGAGCTGTGAGTCTCGTCCTAATCACACTCGGACCTTGATAAAGCACTCAGGAGGGTGCGAAAGACTTGGTGTAAATTCCTTACATAAATTTCACATACACGCAAGTGAGGGTTTTTATCCTATATTAATGATTATCACCAAAAGCAGAAACTGTTCATATTTTTTTATATTACAGTATAATAAATCTCCTATAATTACACTAGGCTACAAAGTAAACATTTTAGCATATCACTTTTTAACATTGCAGATTATTAATTGCATGTTTTGCTTGGCATTTAACATACAGTATGCAAACAAATTTTTAAGGCATTTTTAAGTTACAACAAAGACTAGGTTTAGTTCTCTTTTAAATAATATATACTGTAAATGTTCTGTATATAGAACAAATTGTGCTGGTGCAATGTAGGTGAGGGCGTGGCACTAATGGTAGTGGTGGTGTTCGGCAGAGGTTGGTGATGCGAGTTACGGTGAGGCCCAGGCTTTGCAGCTGATAGCAACAGCATCATCATCATCATCAGCATCATCACCATCATCATCAGCAGCAGCATCTAAACCAACATCACCGCTAAGCACTTTTGGAGAGACGTGTGTGGGGGGAATGCAGGGATGGCTAATGACCCCACCACCGTGCTTCACACGATCACAGGTGGCCCCCCTAGCCACCTCTCCTTTAGAAAATCTGCTTATAGAACACCCCAGCATGTCTGTCTACCTGCCACGCCCCACTTACACCAGCACAGCCATCGCAAGAATATTTCCTCGTCGTGTCATATCTCACTCCTCCCCATATTCCCGTTCTCCCCCTTCAGTTTCACCCTCCTCCCAGCCCACCCCTGATGACAATGAGGATTCCCCCATGAGAGAAGATGCTGGTGCTGAGGGTGGCAACCAGGTAGTAGAGCCCCCATCAAGTCGATCAAGTGTGACCCAGAGAGCGTCTACCCTCCTTCAAGCTATTGATGTGCTTAGGCCAGCACAAAAGGTGAGAACATTGTTTGCATGTTGATTACAATTATTGAAGTACAGAGATTTAGGTAATAACATGAAAAGTAGATTGTAAATTTATCATGGTAAACAGTTGGTTGAAAATATACGATACGTCATTTATTCTAATACTGGAAATGTAAATGCTCCAGTTTAGATCTCGCTTATTTATTTTAAATTTTTCAGGCTCAACGTCGCCGAGAGGAGCGGCGTCTGAAGCGCAAGCCCCTAGAACGTAGTAATAAAGCACGAGAGGTGGCTGCAGCTGGCAACAAACGTTCCAAGCGAAATGACATGATGGTGCCTGGAAAGTTCTCCCGTGCGGTAAACAACCGCAAGTGCTAAAATTTAAAGGCTGTGAAAAGGGGTAAAAGTAATGTTCAGTAAAATAATATTCTAATGAAGTATAAGAGGTATTCAAAGAAAACAAAAGTATGCCGTGTTTAGCATCAAAGTGGCTATTGAAAGAGTGTATTGTGTGTAAATGCCAATTCTTCATAACTTAGTAGGTATTTATTGAAAAAGATGCTATAGAGTAGTTAATTTGTTTAAATGGAAGCAATGTTAATTGTTTTATAAAAAGTTAGCACTTATCATTACTGCAAAATTATAATACAGTATTAACTGTTTATAGTACTGTACTGTACTGACAAGAACATTAAATTCCTTACATGCTATAGAAAGGCAGAACAACTTTTACCCCTTCCTTAAACAATTCTTGCGTTCAGTTTATGGTATGTATATTTTTTAATTTGTGCGTGTTCCTGAAAATATGTAATTGTTGTAAGTTTGACCGAATTTGGTAATGCTCATGTTATATTGTCATGTTAATTTATATGGGTTCTGATCTATTGTCTTTGGCCATCCTTCAGGGTTGTAGTCGAATCTCATTATGCCAATTATTTTAAAGTAATGTACATGTATAATTGATTTTTTTATGGATAACAAAAATGAATATTTTATGTATGATTGAATAGCATTCATCTGATGTAGCTTAGACTACTAAGCTCAACTTAAAATGCCTTTTATGCTCTCTGAATATGTGTTCAGTGTTTTAGCATACAACATCAGTGCTATTCATTTAGTATAACTTTACAAGTTGGTTATTCCATGTCTTTGTTTTGTAGATGTATCTTTGCTTTTACAAGATACTGAAGTGAGAAACTTAGGATTAAGGAAAAATATATTAAAAATTATAAAATGAAAAATGTATATATAAAAAGTCTTTCATAATTGTGTGAATGTTACTTGCTACCGTGCATGGTCGTATACGTGATACGAAATGTTTTTTTTTGGTAGAAGACAAAAGTCTCATACTGTACTGTAGTTGTTATCCATGTGCACCAGAGCGCTATTGCCATTCTGTATTGTCCTGAGAACTGCTCGCACTGCCACAACTGGATGTGTAAGGGTACCCAAAAAGTAGAGTTAATATATTTAGTCATTAGGAATGGCATTTTTTTTGTATTGTAGTGATAATTAAGGCAATATTTAATGTACATAAAATGAGCCTGCTGGTTTTATGAAGTAAAAGATCTCATGAGTGTTATAATATTGGCCTAGTCTGTAGGTGCTCCGATGTATGTGAAAATGTCAAGTTGAGGATACTTGTTATAAAATGTGTATTCTCGGTAGCCACACCTTCAGTTGCATTTTACAATGCAGAGAATGCATCATATATAAATGTATGTATTATCATGGTGTATATTGAATACTGATTTTTTGAGAGGAAAATCTGTACAAAATAATCTTACTTGAAGATGTATTTTAGAGACTTATTAGCTGTACTCATGGAAAGACACACACAGCTCAGGGAATCTGTAGTGTTATCTTGTGTCACATTGCAATGCCTCTTTATTTACAGAGTACGGTGCCGCTCGTGTCTCCATCATTCCAGTATCATATGTGAAGCCTGATACACGGCAAGGTATCGGGAACCTGAATTTGTTGACATGTAAAAGCATCGTCATTTTTATCTGGAAAGAAAAGTGACTGAATTGCAAATTTGTATCTCCCAATGAATGAGTTGAGCTGCTACATGCTGTGTTGTGATGAATTGACCACATGGCTCCCTAAAAAAAAAAACCCTAGTATGGAACTTTTTTTTTTTTCCCCCTTGAAGGCACAAAAGTATACATCTTTATTCAGTTGTAAGTACTGTAATACTGTAATTTAATCTATATAGTACTGTACTTCATTTGATGTATGGATAATTGTAGTGTAAATACTGTATAGTATTTTCAAGTAATTGTAAATTCTTTTATTTATTTTTGTGTTTGATGCCAAAACACAACTCCATCTTTTGCATCCTTTATCAAAGGTCTGATTATACAGTATGATTCAGATAAAATGTGATTTTTGTAATGCTTGTTTTCTATTCCCTGCATAGTTCAAGCAGGTTTCAGCCATTCTTTTTTATGTATAGTATTTGAGATGTAGACACAGTAAGAGAGTTTATAATGTGGTGAGGGAACTTTTATGTGCTGCCTGCAGGTAAGATGGGGGTGTCACCTACTTTCCTCTCCTGCCTGCTATGATGGTGCACAAGCAAAATACATAATCATGTTTTTGCCATACATTGAGACTTGTGCATTTATGTATGTTAAATTGGCAGTTGAGCTTACCCAGCAGCTGCAATCCTTGGGGTGACCAGTAAAACAAGAGGTTCAGCATGGCCCACCTGAACCAGACTCTTCTAGTGGGCATGTTTAGTTAAACATCATGTCAAGTTGGTATCCTTATCAATTCCTTGGATGCTATCTGGGCCCTTCAGTGGTGACCCATATACACTGTCTGTTACCCCTGAGATTGCCTATGCAGTTATGCATAGACATAATCTCCCTTGTTGGGCTTTGCAGCCTTGCACCCCTGCCCACCATGAAGTCCAAATTCTGATTAATTTCATGTCTTTTTTCCCAATGCATCCCTTCTACTCAGGCTTAGGGGAGTGGGTGAACAGGCCCTCAAGTCAAACTGTGATGGAAGATCAGGCTCCATAGTTTTGACTATGGTGGGCTCAGATAAGGCTAGTCTTTTAGAGGTAGTGGATACAATGTGATGTCCCAATTTTCTCCAAATTCACTTTGGCTGATGGTCGCTGATTAACTCGGAACTACAGTAACACAGACCAAGCTAATCAGATTGTGTAATTAAAACAAAGCATTGCAATGGTCAGACAGATGTTGATACGATGTGATTTATCCAGTGCTCTGAACCTTTCGCCTTCTGATCATCTCCCACATCCTCCATGCATGGTCACACCTAAATGAATGTGAAAAAATGCGTAGTCTTCCCCTGTGCATTTTTTCATATCACTTTCTCCTCTTCACTCTGCCTACTGTGGGCTCCTCTGTCAGTCCTGTCTTTCATCCTCTCATCTGTATTTTGGCCCTTCCCAGCATATGATTGTCCAAGCCTATACCACCCTCCACACAACCATTCTTGTCACTTCCTGTCATTCTCCTTTCCCACCCTCAACAATAGCAGCTATCTCACAATGCCTTGATGCTACTACACCCGACCTTCATTCAGAAACTTAAGCCTGGTTCCTCTCCCTCTTCCTCCCAGGCAGGTAAGAATGCATTAGTACTGTACTTCCCTCAACTCAACTCGCCCCCTCCATTCTTGCTCTTGCACCTCCTCCCATCTTGGTAGCAAAGCAATCTGACCTCACTAAGAGTTCCCATCACTTTTGTCCATCCCTCTAGTGCTGTTGTTTCTCTAACTCAACTCGATTCAATTGAAAACCCTTCCTCAGCAAACCTTGGTAACTCGCCTATGCTCTTTATCATGGCCATCCTGGCCCACCCATCTCTGCTGACTTTACCTATGCCCCCCTAACCCTGATTTCCCTGATCAGGATTTTGATTGTGCCCTATTCTTGAATCTTTTTCTTTTAATAATTATGAAAGTTCCTTAAGCAAAAGTATAGTACATAAGATAAACAGTGGAGGATTAATATGCAGGACACGTACAATGCCTAAAGCCACAAAGGCAACAATGCCTTTTTTGTATTTACCTGTACAGTATTTATATACGTACTGTATAAGTTTTTACATTCTTGTACAGCCACTAGTATGCATAGTGGTAGCATGCATAGTGTTTCATAGATTGAGTCCACTTGAGAGGACGTGTAGTGATATTTAACATATTCAAAGATGTCAGTAAGGGAGCCAGTGGTGTCTGGGACTGGAGTTTATTATTTATTTATATACAAGATGGCACAGTGAGTTTTGGAAGTACTGTACATACATTGGTGATTGGGAGTTACATTCTTGCAAGGCCACTAACACACACAGGGGCTCTCGCGGCTGAATGGAGAACGCTTGGGGGTCATGGTCCTAAGGGCCGGGGCTCGATTCCCGGTCGAGGCGGAAACAAATGGGCACTTTCTCTCACCCTGACGCCCCTGTTCACCTACCAGTAAATAGATAACTGGGAGTTAGACGGTTGCTATAAGTCGCTTCCTGGGGAATGTGTGCGCGTGTTAGAGGGAAATATATATATAGCGGCTATAATAGAGGAAAAATAGATTGGTTAGAAAAGTTTGGTCAAAGAGCTAATAGCTCGACTCTGCAGACACAAATAGTAAATAAATAAATACATAGGTTTGGGCAGGTCCTTAAGCTGACCAATACTGTATAATGATAGGTACATTGTAATAGAATTTGAATTCACATAACTAAGCATAAATTGATCAAATAAATTGTACCACTGAAGTTGCATTTTTACACTGTATTTTAATATACTGGATGAGTGGGTAGCACAAGATACCTAGTTATCACAAGGTGGGATACTATGGAGATGAAATTAGGTACTTCATTCGTCTATTTTTTTAATGAATTATAGGTTGTGCATTTTTTAATTTATTAGAGAGCAAATTCCATATATTGAGTCCTTTTATTTACATATGTTGCATAGATTTAGTATGACTGGGAATATCAGAGATTTATTTCTGGTGTGATGCTCTAAGTTCTATTACATAATTTATTATTTATTTATTTTATTTGTTTATTTATATAGATTGAGATTTATTTATTTTATATAGATAAGTTGTTCTGGCAACTGGAACACACTGGAGGTATGATGGGGAAACTTATGATTAACCAATAATCCATCACTGGTGGCAACAATATATAGTCAATCACCAGTGTGAGTGTTGGTGTGTGGGGCAGCAGTGAGCTACACGCTCATACAGGAACATGATGGTAGAGGCGCACAGTCCAGTGAACAGCATTGTGAACACTCCCTGTGGAAGGTTTTCACATAACTTGAATAACTATTACCCGGTAAATATATATCTGTAATTATTATGCACAATTACACTTCTGAAGCAGCTTATGCATTACGTCCACCTTAAAGGTTAGGACCATTTTACTGACGCCTCTAAATTTGTGTAAGAAATGTTTCACTTTCAGACATTACCACCAGGGATTGCTTACCCAGAGACCTTTCATGTTGTAGGGCTCGTTGACTGTGATGGTGGTGGGAGCCTTGAGGCAGGTGGTGGCATTCTGGAGCTCCCTACCGATCCACTCATTGTACAAGTTGTTCTCCACCAGGGCTTGGATCCTGTAACATAAACATTCTTTTTGAAGTTGTCTAACCAGCCCTAAATCTTTTTACAAATTCCACATAGGTCTACTATAAAAAAATCCAACTATAACATTTAAACCATCTACAAATTATAGAAATATGGAATGTACACATCTGATCACATTATACATTTCGCAATTTGCTCAGTTTCCCAAATTAGCATGCATAAGATGCCTAAAAGTCCTCTCAAAAACTTTGCAGTCACTATCCTAAAACCGATAATAGTGTTGGTAAATCTTTCATATCAAAATGAAACCTTCAATAGAGATCAAACTGAGAGGTATATACAGACCAGAAATTGACGGCGGGCATGATGGGTAGGCCTTTATGGGCGATGATGCAGAAGATGAGGGGAAAGTAGGTTTCCTTGGCCATGTAGAAGTCACACCTCCCTGAGCAGGTGAGACACGGTCTTTCAATCTAAAGTTGACATAATTTGCTGTAATTTCTACCCATACTCTTATTTGCTGTAATATTGTCATCACACTTTTTGTAATATTCTTTCCCCCTTCCCACTCACCTGCTGTAATGCTCTCCCCGATGACTGATGAAGATTAAGCCACCCATGAGGTGGTATGGGCATGAGTAGCCCGTAATGATTTCCCCTACACTAACCTGCTGTAATATTATTTCCCCTACACTCACCCGCTGTAATACTCACTTATCTGTTTTAATATTCTTCCCATCTCACTCGTCTGCTGTAATACCCTCTCACCACACCTGTAATACTCCCTTTTACACTTACTTGCTGTAATATAGAAAGTTTTTGAACCATGTATGTCTATTAGAGAGAATGTTTGTCTTCTTGTATATTCAAGGTTGGAGGCCGGAAGCATGGGGCTATCCTCATGGAACTTTGATGATTTGTGATTGTACGGCCAGTTTCACTGGGTTGATGGGGTCAACCATCAGAGAGAGAGAGAGAGAGAAAGAGAGAGAGAGAGAGAGAGAGAGAGAGAGAGAGAGAGAGAGAGAGAGAGAGAGAGAGAGAGAGAGAGAGAGAGAGAGAGAGAGAGAGAGAGAGAGACAGAGACAGAGACAGAGAGAGAGAGAGAGAGAGACAGAGAGAGAGAGACAGAGAGAGAGAGACAGAGAGAGAGAGACAGAGAGAGACAGAGAGAGACTGAGACAGAGAGACAGAGAGACAGAGAGAGACTGAGACAGAGACTGAGACACTGACTTGACAGACAGACTGTTAGATCCAGATGGGAAGATAAACAGAGAAGAGCCCCGGTGTCTGCCAGGTACCCTATTCTCTTGTCAACAAAAGTGAAAATCTGTCTGTATGTCCAAGTTTGTAAGCCAGATGTTTGGGGCTACTCTTCTACAACTTTGCATGGTGATTGATGATTTTTGGAGTCTCATAGGGTGGTTGGAGTTGGCTCCCTTTGCCCACCTTTGATGGGGAATCGACCTATGCACCCCATTTGCCATTTGTGCTACTCAGTTTAACACAGTGCTAAACTGAGTAGCACAAATGGCTTCAGACAGTTCACTTTCACTCCTCGTACTATTTGTATATAAATTTTGTAAGTACATCGCACCGCCTGATGTTTATTAGTATAGACTAATGTTTGATGAATAGCTGTACATTACCTTTGCTGGAGAAGTCATCGGATATAATCTTTTTAATGGTAGTCTCCTCTACAAGAAGAGCGTAGTTCTTGGACCTGACCAGAGTGAAGGCGGCGTTGAAGAGGAGGCTGGAGATGAGGAACTGAGACCGACCCTTCTTGTTCACCTTCTCCAACTCGGCGAAGATTCCTGATTTTGCCTCCTGAAGCCAGTAATTTGTAGTAGTTAGGCTTGTGACATTAAATAAATCAAATTTAGATAGGGAAACCTCACCCCCCTTCGTGTGATCACAATACGAATTACAATTATACAAGCCTATGTAAAGGTCCAGGAGGATGACTTTCTAGATTACCCTTGAGGAGACTATCAAAGAATGAAAGAGGAATTGAAAATTGCCTCTTGGACTGAGCTAAGAGGTGATCAAGGCATGGAAGCATCATGGGAAAATTAAATGAGGGTCATTATTGAACTACTTAAAAAATACGTGCCAAGGAGGAGAAAGGAAAGGATGGGAACTAGATAGATGACACAGGCAGTAAAAAAAGCTTTAAAGACTAACTGAAACCTCTGGAGAAGGTATAAATCTATGAAGAACATCATAGATTATGAAATAGAACAGATTATATAAGTACTCAGCCACCCAGGAAATCAGATTAGCCAAAAGAAACTACGAAAGAAAACTTGCCCAAAACATAAAGAAAGATCCAAGGTCGTTATATACCTCTATAAGAAGTAAAACCAAAACATAAGACTCGGTAGGACTCTTAAAACATGAGACTAACCAAGTTATAATGGACGACAAAAGGGCAGTAAAAATACTAAATGAATACACCAGTGTTCACGCTATCACCCCTATTAAAAAAAAGGCAGAAAGAGCTCGGCAGAAAACTATCATCCGATTAGCTCGACATCACTCATCTGCAAGGTCATAGAAAGAATCCTAAGGGAGGGAATCAACGAACAAACTTGTAAAATCAATGCAACATGCGTTTGTTAAAAATAGATCCTGCCTTACAAACCTGCTCACACATTTGGAAACGGTAACCAGTTGTTCAGAAGAACTTCCAGTTGATGTAGTATACATGGAGTTTGCTAAAATTGTTGATAAGGTGCCACGTGAAAGACTAGCAAGGAAATTACAGGCACATGGAATAAATGGTAGAATACTAGAATGGGTTCTAGAGTACTAGAGGATGCTAGCAATTTACGTGTAAACGAAATCTTTAACTACTCTAAAAATTTACGACCATTCATATACTCACCTTCATATACACTGACATTGCCGTAGACGTCTCAAAGATGAGACCATATTCCTTGGCGTCGATGAGGTCCCTGAGTGTGTCGATCTTGACAGGGATCTGCCTGACGGCCAGGAGGGAGGTGAGAGCCCCGGAGTAGCTCCTTAAGATGACCAACAACGCCAGCAGCCACACACACACCACCATCCTTAACGATATGTCGCTAGGATTGCGAAGCGTGCCTACCGCAGGAGGAAAAAAAATCCTACATTAGGCTAGGATTCCAAAATACGATCGAATAAACTCCTTAGTTTCAACATGAAATCCTAAAAGGCGTACATGTCATAGAAAGTCTCGCAACATACATAATAAAACTTAAATGAAACATTCAAGCTAGGATGGGCACCCCACAGTCACTTACGCTGCTGACACATATTGGCAAACTGTTCCCATGAGTAGACGAAGGTAAGGGAGAGCTTTCTGGAGCTGCTCCATCTCTTCCTTTCCCAGCCCAGGAAGACGCCGACCGCGAGCCCCACACATACTAGCAAGAAGGACAGGAGGAACCCAAGCCACACCGTGGGTCTCAGTGGGTTAAGAAAGCTCCAAGGATCGGGTTTGGCCGAGCCTCGCTTAACCAAGATCCTATAGTAGTCGATTATGATAGGCTGTGAGAACTCTGCCACCGCCGCTCGTGATCCCGTAAGGCCAAAGGGTCCAAGTGCCAGATCTGCTTCCTGAGAACATTGGTTACGTTACGTTAAGTAATTATTATCTCATTATAAGTTGTAATACTACTATAAGTAATTATAATCTAAAATGTAGCTATAATATTATAAGCAGCAATAATAATAATAATAATAATTATGTTAATAGTTATGTATATATATACATATAATATACTTATTTATTTAAAGCAAGCACTAGTTTGATGGTACTCTGGAGTTTATATACTATACCTCAACAGCTGAATACTCACGTTGCGCTTAACCATTCCAATCATGCCATTCCAGACGCCATTACTGTCAGGAGCGCCCCACGCACCGTCCGGAGGCCGCACAAGCGTGTATCTATACACAAACTTGGCATTAGTAGTAGTACTAGTAGTAACATTAGGTTAGAAAATGTAAGAATGGTATTTTACACGCGCTAATGCAGCACATTCTGGGACCTGATGCTGAACACGTTACAAATGGATTTGAAACATGACAAAAACTATTTAATCCCTGTATCAGAGTCTCCCGGTGAGCAGTTTTCCCTGGCTGCTGTCTTGTCGTCACTCAAATATTTGATACAATTATCTCAGCAGAACCAATAATTCTACCGTGTCAAAAGAAGTGATAAAGGTGAATCCTGAGATATCGTGCTACAAGTATTAGATTAGTTTATGAACCAGTCCGTTTAATAACAAGTGATCGATGCTGGAATGCAGTTAGGTACAGACTAGGCTTTGTGCAATTTTCTTTGTTTACTTCAAATAATGTTCTAGCAAGACAAGCTGTATCTAGAGGATACAGCAAGTACCAACCCCTTCGTACTTGAAATTGATGGCGCGAGAAAGAACAGTGAGGAGGTGTGCCATGGGTCCACTGATGGTGACGATGCCCTCATGTTCCTGGACTATGACATGAGGTTCCCAGTGTTCCACCGCCACACGCAGCGTCGTCTGCTTCTTGAACCTGCCGGAGGAAGGCGCTCAGCACTCACAGGTAATGCACACGTGTACAATGGCAATAAAGGTAGCAAATATTAATCTATCATTAAGTTACGTAATGCTTGCATTATGACAGCAACAGTTACATGCAGTTATATAGATTTCGGGTAGTAATTTTGATGATTTATGTTAAGTATTTCCTCTTAAAATTATAGGGCATGCAGCTCGGTCGTCTAGCTTCGGTTTGTGCAAGAGACTCGTATGTAACTACCACATGTATTCTGGTAGTTGAGGCAAAGGCAATTTGCCCATTAACTTCTCTCCTGCTTGATTGCTGTGATGTGTAGGAAGTAAAAGGAACTAACCTCATTTGTCTTGGCTCCGCACTAGAAAAGTTGAAGTGTCCAAGAGAGGCTAGATTGTTGTCCGTCAGCCATTCGTCTGTAATCAAATTATGCTCAGTTAGATGTAACAGTAACTTGAGAATTGCCTGAATAACGAACCTTTATTTAACCAAGGAGTACGTATATATAATGTATACAGCCCTATGGATTGCTGTGCCTATCTATCACAACACACCATGAACCTGTCTATCCGTTATGTGATCTCTCCATCATGGGGTGGTCATGTAAGTTACTTGGTGTGTACTTTGAGGGACGGTCATGTGGTGTGCACTCTGAGTGGAGGTTATGTAGTGTGTAATCTGAGAGACGGTCACAGTCAAGAGTCAAGCAGATCGAAGACATTCATCAAAGCTACTTTGTAAGGTCTGTATTATATATTTTGTGTTTTAGTGGATGGAAGCAATACGTTATCACGTATTTAACTGTCGAAATATACTGTGTTCGGTCACTGACATGGCGTCCAGTTCCAGCTACCACCATAGCATCCAGCTCCCGATATGGCGTCCACCTCTAGCTACGGATATGGCATCCAGCTCCAGCTACCGACATGGCGTCCAGTTCTTGCCAGGTTGTGTTCGGCTACTGACATTGCACCCAGCCAGCCCCGGCCAGGTTGCCGCACTTATCAACCCTACTGGCGCTTACCCAAGAGATAAATAGCTTCAAGCACTCGTAATTATTCACGAGGATGTAGCGCTACATTATGGTGACTGGCTCTCAAGACAAGCCATTGACAACTATACAAATTACATGAATATCAGGATGGATGTGTGAATTGCGTCGTAAATATCAGCACTGGTGGCAGGGAGATAAAACACACGAAAATTGACTCCAGAGCTATATATATTAGGGATGTCAGAGTGCTCTTAGAGATAACATATTACTCTTTGGGATGACTTATGGCTCTTAGAGATGTCTTAGTAACTTAGGGGATAACTTAGTACTCTTGGGGATGATTTTCTGCCCTTAGGGATAACTTAGTGCTCTTGGGGATGTCTATGTGTCCTTAGGGATGACACAGCTCAAGCAGACAACAGACCTAGTAAACAACAGACCCAAGCAGGCGACATATCAAACAAGCAACAGAACCAACAGACGAAATATCAAGAAAACAACAGACCTAGCAGACAACAGACCAAGCAAACAGCAAACCAAAGACAAGATAACAGTTCCAATCAGATAATGGACAACAGGTCCAAACAGACAACAGATCTCTATCTTCCGCAGATATCAGAAGAAATCTGTAAAATAAATGCGCCGTCAATATTTTGCTGAACACAACACTGGTGCGAAGACTCATTGTGGCAACACCAGCAGGAGCTCACCTGCAGCAGGGCATGGGACGTAGACTGCGTCAGCAACACCAGTAGAAACTTACCTCCAGTAGAGTGGGACGTAGACTGCGTCAGCAACACCAGTAAGAACTTACCTCCACTAGGGAGGGACGTAGACTGCGTCAGTAACACCAGTATGAACTTACCTCCACTAGGGAGGGACGTAGACTGCGTCAGTAACACCAGTATGAACTTACCTCCACTAGGGAGGGACGTAGACTGCGTCAGTAACACCAGCAGAAGCGTCATCAGAAGCAGAGGGACGTAGCGGCCAAATGTAAAATAAGTCACCCCAGTCATGTTGACAACATCTAGCAGTAGCAGACGTCCTGCAAAAATATATTTAGCATCAAACATTTTATGAACTGTAATAACCACGGGTTAATTACGGGTGTCATTTATATAACAGCACAAGCAGGTGTCATTTACATAAGAGTATAATCAGGTGTCAAGTACTTTTCTAGCAAGTACTTGGCGGCACAAGACTGAATACATGCGTATTTCGCTCTCTCCTTCAACTCTGTATAAATTATGAGGAGCTATTTAGCTCAAAATCAGTTTCGTGTATTTAGAACATGCGTGAGGGGGCCAAGTTGGTAATCTGGATAAAGTATTGCTAAAATCACAGAAAAGTTGTTAGAATCATAGTGATGCTAGAAAGTTTTTTTTTTTTAGCGTGAAAGTAGTAGTGAAATGGAATGAACTAAAAGAGCACATTGTGGAAGCAAACACTATTCATAGCTTTAAAACTAGGTATGATACAGAAGTAGGACAGAAGTTATTGCTTTCAACAACCGAAGGCTAGAAAGGCGGGAGCCAACGCTCGATCCTGCAGGTACAAATAGGTGAGTGCAGAAGGGTAAAGCAGTGAAAATCCTAACAGGTAAAGCAGTGAACATTTCAACAGGTAAAGCAGTGAACATTACAACAGACAAAGCAGTGAACATTACAACAGGCAAAGCAGTGAACATTACAACAAGTAAAGCAGTGAACATCACATTAGGTACAGCAGTGAACATCACATTAGGTAAAGCAGTGAACATCACATTAGGTAAAGCAGTGAACATCACAATTCTTGTTAATTTTTACACAGCAAATATCAGCAGTTTAACGAGTTCAGTCATTAATGTTCAATAATAGCAAAACATAGGTTGGCATTTAGGAAGTGAAGTAGGCTACAGAGTTAATTAGGTAGTAGTTAGTTTCTCCTAAAGTGGTTGAGAAAGGGACAGTCTTGGACGTGACTGGGAAGGTCATTCCACATTTTCGGACCCTTGATTTGCAGAACATTTCTACTTTGGTTAAGTCGCACTCTTAGAAAATCAAATAAATATTTATTTCTAGTGTGGTGCCCATGGGTTCTCTTACAGCTCTCTAGAAAGCGCTTAAGGTCAGGATTAGCAATGCAGTTCGGAGTTTATATATATATATATAGAATACACTTGAGAGGATGTGCAGTGACTTAATATCTAACATATTCAAATATCGTATATTTTTGCTTGTCTCCAAAATCTTACTTTTTTAGACACATAGAGTAGGCTTCAGATGAGCCATAGGGCAAGATCTTAGCTTTCAAACACGAGTCAAAAGATTTATATTCAATATTTATTTATTTAGATACAAGAAGGGACAATGGGTTTACGAGAGTACATAACATTGGCGTTCTTACATTGTTGCAAAGCCACAAACACTAATAGCGTTTCCGGCAGGTATATAGCTTCAGTAACAACAAATTTAAAGCAAAGCACTAAAAAAACATTAGCTGTTCGCAGCAAAATCCACGGTGATACTCGCATATAAAATAAATATTGTTCCATGCTTTTGTAACAAAAGCATGAAGACAATTTATGCAGAAGGCGCTCTGTAGCCAACGCGTCTTGGCACAGACCGTGGACTGCTGACAATAGATGCCTTAAACTAGTAACTATAAACTTTTTCAAGAAAAATGAAGGACTGAATTACCATGAAGCAGAATCCTACTCCAAAATAGATTATTATAAGTTCGGGCAATAAAGAAAAGCTGAGTAACAAAAAATTATCTAGGTATACAATTCACTATAGGTGACATTTTAATGAGAGGCACCTCTTGTGTTGAGAGGGTGAAGGAAGCAAGGAATGTGTGTGTTAATGTTGGCCGGAGACTGGACAACACCAGCACCACCCTCACCGTTAACTGTGGGAGACACACTGCCACCGGCCGGGCAATGAGACCCCGAGGGAAGATCTGCCTCATCGATGCTCGCAGTTGTGTTAACCAGCCTGGAAATGGAGGTTCCAGTCAGTTCTTTTCCTTCGCAACAGAGGCGCATAATGGGTTCAGGGACTGAACCCCACAATTCATTTATCTAAGCAAGTTACAATCTTGATGAGCTAGTTGCAAAATTCAATATACGTCGTCACATCATCAATGGGTTCGAGATCAACCAAAAGTACAGTTTTTAAATTAAGTAACTGACATGTGTGGAGAGCTAGTGTCATAAATTTTATGTTTGTCCTGCACACCGCCTCCCATCCAGTGGGCAGCGATGGATAGGTTACAATCACTTAGTTTGGAAGAATTGTTCTGTTACTAGCTATCATTAATTAAAATTAAATACGATATGTGAATATAAATTGTAATAGACAATGGGTTTGCCAGTTCTCTAGTTTCTTCAACTTCTGAAAAGTAATGTCTATTTACACCTTTTTAGGATTTTTTTACATTTCAAATTGATTGTAAGCAGTTTAATGCTAGTAATAAGGCGTCAGAGATAATTAAGCTGTCTGTCTTGGTGCCTGAACAAATTTTGAGCGCTACGAGAACCAACAGTTAAGCAGTTTCATGTTAATCAACACGAGACATTACGTAGATCTCTTTGTAAAGCTTCAATATCATTAACATTTCCCACTTGACACAAAGATTTATGGTAAAGTGGGAAATGATAATGATATTGAAGCCTTACAAAGAAATCTGCATGAACTTCACAAATGGCAAATGCTTTTTAATATTGTCAGATACAAGACCCTGCATGTGGGGCGTAACAACCCACGCCACAACTACCAAATGAATAACATTACATTACAGCAGATTGAGGAATAAACGGACCTTGGAGTCAAAATCCATCACTCGATGAAAGTTGTACAGCATCTAGGAGAAGCAGTCAAAATAGCTAACCAAAACCTTGGAATAATCAAGCCTACCTTTGACTTTAAGGAATAGAAGGCAGGAATTCAACTGTATAAATCTCAGGTACGCCCCCATTTGGATTACTGTATCCAAGCATGGAGACCACACCTTCAGAAGGACATAGCTGCTCTGTAGAAAGTGCAACACCAGGCAATAAAAATCATTCCAGAGCTAAGTTAACTCGCGTATCACGAACGGTTGAGGGTCACAGGGCTAACAAAACTGCAAACCAGCCATGACAAGACGGATCTCATTGAAACTTAAAATACTGAACAATTTGGATGATGTTGATCCGGAAAATGTCTTCAAAAGGTTAGATGTAACACAAACAAGGAACAACGGTTTCAAGCTAGACAAGCCATAATGTAGGACAGAACAGGAGTTACTTTTTCACGTACATGGTTATAAATCCATGAAGCCGCTTATCCGCTGAAGTCGTAAATGCCAAAACTCTGTTTAATTTTAAAGTCCAACTGGAAAGGATCATCAAGGCAAATGGGGGGGGGGGGTACCTTCAACAAGGCGCCGGCTTCCTGTCCTCGTCGAGGCCACTGGTGTTAGTGGATCTCACGTAAATTCAAGTAAATATTTCTGCTTAAGGTAGATTGGAAGGTGATGAACGAAGTTCCTCGTGAGTCAATAAGTCAGGTGACCGACTGCGCTACTCCATCACCTAAAACAAAACTAGGCCGCGTTAACATCGCCTGGAAAGGAATCGGATTATCTGAATAACTCCGTCACTTGTTATTCAACGTGCAAACAAGAATACCTGTTCTCCCATTTCTAGCGTGAATTCACGACCACTTGCTTCCGAGTAAACCTTATTAAAAATTGCGAATTCACATAAAAAAAATCTTGATACTTTTGTTTCATGGTATTATCGAGCTGTCATAAATTATAATTTAAACAGCAAACCGTTTGTCTTTACCCCGATGTTTGCCGAGCTCTGTGCCCCCCATGTCTTGAGACACGCCAGGACATGCTTCAGAAGTTGAAGGTTGCAGCAGTACTACTACCTGTGTCAAATTGAAGATCTGGCCAACGGTACGAGAGACAACACCTGCAGTACGAGAGACAAAACCTGCGGTACGATAGCCAACAGCACGAGAGACAAAACCTGCAACAGGATTGTCCTACGGTATACGAAGGGGTCTCCAGGACGTAGTGGGTATGACACACTGTTATATATGTATATACTGTGGACATGTACACCAGAATGCGGATGTATACTTACATCCAAGTGTCAATAACGACGGCACGCACATGCCGTGATGGCGACCGTGTCGCATGGAGGTTGATCAGACCACGCTAGTCACACCCGGCGTGTCTGATCACACAACAGGCTTGTGACTGACCCTGTGACTGACCATGTGAGTGACCATGTGACTGGCGCTATGGCTGACCCTGTGACTGGCTACCTGACTGACCTGCTACGCAGTCCTAGACGGTTTAATCCTTCTTTTGATAATTACAAGACTGAGTTAACACTTTGCAACAAGCTTCCAAGAATAAAGTCCAGAACAGAAACCTTTCAAAGATGCCACCAAGGGCATTAACCTTTTAGAGACACCAAGGACAGTAATCTCTCTAAAGTACTTTGTACTTATGTAAAGAACGAATTAAAAAAAACGTTTGGTAATTTGTGTAGACAATCACTTTAATGCAATGCTATTTGAGAAAGTATTAAACAATTCTAATACTCTCATATTAACAGTTTAGAACATGAGAATTAAGTAAGCTGCAGAATGTCTATTGGTCCATACGAGACACATCCTATTTATATCCACCCAAACTTATCTATTATTTATAAAATAGGATGTCTGTCTGCTAGTCTGTCTGTCCAAAGATGGAGGCCAGACGCTTGGGACTAGTCTCAACCAACTTTCAAAGATGACCCATAGGGGGTATGAGAGTATAACAGGCCAGATGGAACCGGACGTAATGACACCTTTTTAAGAAGTACTTGCATCTATAGTGACCTCGCCTTTAAAAACACATATAATAACATATAATTTATGCTTTGGAGTGTGTAAACCGGGTTTCATTCATAAAAAGGGGGATTGGTGGGTGCATGGAATCACTTTTGGGTCTTGTTGACCAGACCACACACTAGAAGGTGAAGGGACGACGACGTGTCGGTCCCTCCTGGACCATTCTCAAGTCGATTGTGAGAATGGTCCAGGACGGACCGAAACGTCGTCGTCCCTTCACCTTCTAGTGTGTGGTCTGGTCAACATACTTTAGCCACGTTATTGTGACTCACCACCTGCACTTTTGGGTCTTTGTTTGGAGGACGGGCTGTTAGGTGATAAGAAATGTGGCAAATGCATCTGGGATTCGAACCCGGTATTCTCGATTATGAGTCGAGAATGAACCTAACTGTACTACAGCAGCCCGTCCTCCAAACAAAGACCCAAAAGTGATTCCATGCACCCGCCAAATCCCCTGTTTATGAATGAAAAACGGTTTACACACGACTCACAACTGATTTCGTTCGAACCCTTCTGGAACAAGTGCTTCACTGATGAATTTTGTTTGCACCTCAACGCTGTAAATTTTTGCTTCACTCACGTACTACAAATACAAATAATCGCCAACAGAACCTAAACACCTAACCTATGCCTATATATTTACAATATGCAAATATATTATAATATTAATTTATATTCGAGAAAATTCCCGGTTTGAATGAACAGCATGTAGAAATTTATGAATGCGTCTGTGGGGTCGACTGCTGGATGGAATGGACTTGAGTCGAGGACGGGTTGACTACAGAGACTTAAAAATAATATGCAATACAAATATATAATTGTCTTTGCTTATATATATTATTTTACTATTTATATATAGTATTTTTTATTCATATGATTGAGCCCTACAAAGACCATAAGAGGAAGGGACAAGGACCAGAAGCTACACATACAGACGAAGCCACTACCACGCAAAGCGTTTCGGACAAAAATTAAACTTAAAAAATGAAGCCTGATGCAAATTGATTCAATAGTTAGGCTTCACATCGACACGCTACACCATAGTAAGGGTGCAAGGCGAAGGATGGAGCAAGAGCTGTGTGTGGGATGGTCCTCTCTACTTCCTGCCTCTTGGCCTCGTGCTTCAAGGTTGAATGGGTAATTACAGGAAGCAAAGAATAAAGGCACCTATTTTTTTTAAGGTAACCGGTGTCTCGTTATATCTACTAAATTTGGCATATGTTTAAGGATTTGTTGTTCTGATTGATATATAGTAAAATTAAAAGAATACGCTATAAACTTATTTTATATATAGTAATAAATGTTGAATTTACCGCCAAGGTCATGGTCAAGACATGGTTTTTTGATTTTCTAAGAAATTATCTATGCAAATGTATCCAAACATAGTATAATGTTGTAAAAATACCAAAGGATTATAATATAATCAATTAAAACTGCCAAATGTGCTTAAATATTAATATATTAGCATTTTAGTTTTGATTAAGAAATTCTATTGTTTACAAGTGTCAGTAGAGAATCGTCCAATTCTGCTGTGATGAAAAATTAAATTCCCTCACTTCTGGTGGAGCCAAGTAAGAATATTATGTCTCGAGTAATAATGGCAATAACATAAAACTTGACGAATGTTGCTTTAGCTGAGGTGAAATGATGACAGACACGTGTGTTGAAGGCTGTGTGTGTATAGCCTGGTGGCCCCTGCCTCGTCCCTCTCAGACTCGGTAACTCACAGTGGAGTCGCTCGTGTTAATAAACTCGAATAGGACTTATGCACTCTTCACAGTAAATGGTGTAAAGGGGGGTATAATTCTCAAGAGACTTTTTTTAAGATTCCTTTGTTAACGAGGAATGGTTTTACCCTCCCTCCTCCTCAGCCTCTGGTCCAGTCTCTGTGGGTAAGTCTGGTAATTACTTTATTACTTGTGATATAAAATGATTTTTTTATGGGACTGTCATTGTGTATATCAAGATAATAGCACACTCGTACAAGTGCTCAAATTTTTTTTAAGTGTTTGAATGCAGTGTCTGAGGGTTAGATGCATAAAAAGTAGCTCCAATGTAAAACCAAAAAGTATCTAATTGCATCCTCGTAGTACCCTGCCTTGTGTTTCAAACACACTGTATCTTGTATTACCCACTTTCCCAATATTAGTACTAAAGATTAATTAAGTACTTAATTGTTACCAGTGTAATCACATGTCTCAGTTTATATTGTTGATATAAAACCTTGCTACAATGTACTTTTTCATCTTACCTGATATGTAGCATTTCAGGCAGGTCCTTAATCTATGTGTGTGTTAGTGGGTTTACAAGAATGTAAAAATATAACTGATGTAATCTCACCATCTCATTGAAGCTTCTTGTAAATAAAATATTATTATAAAACCCGAAATGTAATGTGCTCTCCTTTGTTTTCATTTGTTCTGAGAAAGTATATAATATTGGTCCAAAGCCCATGCGTTTCGTATCTCATGACTGAGGCTGCTTGTCAAAAGGGCTTTCAATTTGGCGTGTCTATTCCATTCTTTTGTGTTATATAAATTGCTGCAATGCATATGATGTCTTTTTTATTTTGTATTATCTGGTACTACAAAAGCATTATAACACCTGCAGTCTTATATTACATACAGAAGGTACTGAAGGAAATATTGTATGTTCATGATATATAATATCGGTAATCATGGCTAAGCCACGCCTCGCTGTTAAGTCTGTTATTTGTCCTCGCATCTTTGGGCAATTAGATTAAGAGGAGGCTATGTCAGGCAGGCCTGTGTTTCTTTGGGTTTGGAATGAGTTGGAAGCTGAGCAACTTAGAATGTGTTTTAGTATGAAAGTTTACAGATATGTTGTATTGATGTACGAAAACTGTTGATGTGGGAGAGCTATTCAAGGTTTGATTAATAAGATCTGGCAGTTTTGTCTTTCAAAGTAAAAGTTGTAGGGTCCTTTATCTACTTTAAAGGTTAATGTAAATATTGCAAAAAAATTTAATTTAAATACTGTTTTATCTTAGATTTTTCTCCATTTACAGCTCGTCTTCCATTGTTCCTCATTTTTTATACAGTATAATTAACTGTTCTCATTCCTTGACACTAAGTTACTGCCTTATCAGAAAATGTTCTTGACTGTTATACCTGTCCAGTGTACTTTATACATCTGCCTTTTTACTTTCAGCATTAAATACCTCTAATATATGAGTGAACTGAAAGAATAATGTGATGGAGACTAACTGTAAATTTATAAGTCTAATACATGCACAGTAATAATAATAATAATTATTATAATACCTGTATTAATTCATTTTTGTAATATAATTTTATATTTGTATTTGTATTCAGTATTTTTATTTGATAGTTTTAGTTATGACAATTGGTGTGCTTACTGTGGGTTCCACATTTATTATAGAATATGTTACATTTGTATGCAAAACAGGCTATCTTTACAACTTTATATTTTGTGGAAAACTTATGGTTGTCAGTTGTCTTAGTATAACCACTTACCATCACTACCACAACTTGAACAATAATTTACATCATCATACCATAACCAACTTCCACCATTCATCAGTGTTATATCTATTACCACCACTGTCATCACCATTATCATCATCATATCATGTGTAAATATACTTGTATGTTTGGCTCCAAAGTGCTCCTTTTGCTGTTTGCTCTGCTCTGAAAAAATCACAAGAATGTAAACGTTTTAGTGCCAGTGAGTAAACACAACTTGAAGAAGAAATAAAAGGGAATATGTGGGAGGCAGGAAAATGCAAAAATGTTTTAGAATAAGACTTCGACATTGTCAGGCAGAGGAAAGCGACACGCATTTATAAGTTTCCCTTGGGATGTATGCGAGTTACTTGGATGAAAGAATTAAGGTAGAGAGCTTCATATTTATTGTATGATTTATATATAAAAGTGACTCGATATAACCTCAAGATAACCTTAACAACCAGCAATTGCCAAATGAACTTTGTTTTAAGCCATACAAAAATTATTTTCAAAAGTGTACAGAGTGTCTAATTTTACACAAATGGAAAGATCCAAGAAACCTAAAATTATTTAGTTATTTTGAGACTGCCTATGTTTACAGGTAGGAGTCTCATAGAAGGAAAGAGACAAAATCAGAGTTAATTTAATATCCAGATGGATGAAAAGTGATACTTATTAGAGTGTTGATTCATTCACAGTAGGACTCCCCAAACACATTTAATCACATGCTTAAGTGATGGGGTCTCAACTCAATACAATCCAGTGTAATTAATACAAATATTGAATTTAATAAATTCAACCCAAAATAAATCTCTCAGAATTAAAATGGGAGAGTGAGAGTATCTGAGCATTAGCATGTGCTTACCTAGTTCTATTTATGGGCAGCAATATCCAGCTATAGTGCCCCGCCATGTAGCTATTAGACCTCCAAACATTCTAGTACTGTATTTTATCGTGCTTACTCTAAAGCTGCAAATGGTATGCGTGTGCTTCCACCACCAGACAGTTATTTCCCGCTGACGCCATAAATGCCAAAACTCTGAGTTTTAAAATACAACTGGAAAAGATCATCATGGCAAATGTGGAGGAAGGGAGGGGACCCTTGACAAGCTGCTGGGTTCCTGTCCTTGTCGAGGCCACTAGTATTAATGGCCCTCAGGTAAATTCAGGTAAATTTCACTTGATGAATAAAATACTGTTCATGTACTGTGTACGGTATTTCCTGACATTACCCGAACAGATCTGTATTTTGAACTTCTACCTTATCCTTTAATTCTGTTTTGTTTGGGAGTGTGTGCACTTAACCCTTTACTTAGCAATTGACTTTAAGAGGTGTCAGAAGCAAATCTGCTTACAGTGTTGTTTCTTGTCAATGATACCCAAGTCATATAATTCATCCTAAATTAACACTGTTAATTTGAACACCTCAAGCAATTATGGCTGCCTAAACACCACTGCCATATGCAAGAGACAATTTGGAGCTCGAAATGATGATCAGGAAATTAATGCATGCACGTAAAACTAACGTGTGTTGTAAATACTTTCACAAACATGTGCATGGTCAGGAACTTGCACTCCGTGGCACATACTAATTGGCACTCCCATAGAGCACCAATCAGTATGCGTTTCATCTGTACACAATCTGATTGAGTAAACTATTAGCTTCTCTGGCATCACTGGGAGTGGAAAGAAGGGTTATCAGAATTGTTAGCAAAGGACAGGTCACCTGTGACCTTTCTTGCTACTTGGTACAGTACTCGATCAATCCAAAATTATGATGAGATCCACCTATGATTATACAGTCGATGTATAAACTGCCATCTGTTAGTATAACCAGATGTCATATGTTGCCACACACATGATATCTGAACTGCCAATGCAATCACCGATCCATAGAGACCCTTCACGAAGTACTCGTGTCCTTGGATAATGGTGCCAATGCTCGATGCACAGAACTGTACAACACTGCAGCCACAAAGTACAAGTCTAGCAGAGAGATCACCATTCTCTCACAGGATCACATCTTTGGGCCTTCTCTCTTCTAATGTCAATTGCTTTAGTTCTCTTAATCTGTCCTCGTAGCATTGCTCGCTTGACTCTGATGTCAGTGTGATTGAAAATTTCTTTGAGTTTTCAATCTCTCTCCCTCTTTTTTTTTTTTTTTTTTTTTGTTTACAAGGGTGGAGCTTCCAAGATGATTTTGTATATTCTAATACTGACCAGAAAGGCTGTCTATCAGTCTGTTTCATAATGTAACTGCTTGGATTCCTAACTGTTCCTGAAATGTTTGATGGTTTCACATATATCGTACATCCTAGGTTTGCTTGCACATCTTTTGTTAAGCTGATGCTCTTTTTCTAGGATTTAATTCTTAATAGCTAAATGTCTGCCCAGTCCTGAAGCTTTTAGGTTCTTCCATAGTATCCTGCAATCCTCTTCTGTTCTTACTGATCTTGTCAGTTTTGCATTGTCTGCAAACGTTACCTTCTAAAATCGTACATAGATTAGGCACAGTGTAGGGATCCTAGGATCAAATCTTACATGATCTTGTTAGTCAAAGGGGAGAGAGAGAGGGAGGGAGAGAGAGAGAGAGATTAAGAGAACGAAAACAAAATAAGAGATGGATAATTATGTATCTTAGATTAAATGAGCTGATATAAGACTAGGGAAAGGACGTACTAAGACTAGGGAAAGGATAGGTCCATTAAAAACTGAGACAGGTCAAATAACAGATAGTGATGAAGAGATGAGTAGTATTTTTAATAAATATTTTGTATCTGTATTTACTAAAGAGGAACTTAACAATATGCCTTCAGCCGAACAAGTCTATGTGGGTGGGGACGAGGACAGGTTGACTAGTTTAACAGTTACCAGGGAGGATGTAATTAAACAAATAGTAAAACTCAAACCAAACAAATCCCCAGGGCCGGATGAAGTGTTTGCCAGGGTGCTTAAAGAATGCAAAGAGGAGCTTTCCGAGCCACTGTCAACCATATTTAATAAATCAATAGAGTCAGGCAGAGTGCCAGAGTTTTGGAAAGTTGCTAATGTGATACCAGTTTTTAAGAAAGGAGATAGATCACTTGCGTCTAACTATCGACCAATTAGCCTAACGTCTATTGTGGGAAAGTTACTCGAATCCATAATAGCAAATAAAATTCGTCTTCATCTTGAAAAACATAAATTAATAATTGAGTCGCAACATGGTTTTATAAATGGCCGTTCATGTTTGACAAATTTGTTATCTTTTTATTCTAGCATTGTTGAGGCAGTTGATAGTGGTAAGGATTGCGATGTTGTGTACCTTGACTTTAGCAAAGCTTTTGATACAGTGCCACATGAAAGACTGATTAAAAAGATGGAGTCTCATGGTATTGGGGGTGCTGTATTAAGCTGGATTAGGGCATGGCTATACCAAAGGAAACAGAGAGTTAGTATAAATGGAATCAAGTCAGAGTGGGAAAATGTTGTAAGTGGAGTGCCTCAAGGCTCTGTCCTGGGACCTCTGTTGTTTATAATATATATAAATGATTTAGATTCAGGTTTGAGTAGCAACATTTGCAAATTTGCCGATGATACGAAAATCGGTAGGGAAATTAATTCGGAGGAGGACTCACTATCACTTCAAGTTGATCTAGATAGGGTTTTGAAATGGTCAAAGGATTGGCAGATGCAGTTTAATGCTGATAAATGTAAAGTTCTGAGGTTAGGTAATGATGATAGAGTTACAAGATACGAGCTAGATGGTGTTGAGATTGCGAAGTCGGATTGCGAAAGGGATCTGGGAGTTATGATTAGTAAGAATTTAAAACAAAAGGATCAATGCATAAATGTTCGTAATAAGGCAAATCGGACACTTGGATTTATTAATCGCAGCGTTAGTAACAAGACACCTGGTGTGGTTCTCAAGCTATATCTTGCTCTAGTTAGGCCCCATTTAGATTATGCAGTTCAGTTTTGGTCGCCATATTATAGAATGGATATAAGTTCACTTGAACGTGTCCAGCGTAGGATGACTAAGTTAATTCCCCAAATTAGAAATCTTTCATATGAAGAAAGATTAACAAAGCTTAAGTTGCATTCACTGGAAAGGCGAAGAGTTAGGGGCGACATGATAGAGGTTTACAAATGGGTGAATGGACATAACAAGGGGATATTAATAGGGTATTAAAAGTATCAACACAGGACAGAACACGAAACAATGGGTATAAATTGGATAAGTTTAGATTTAGGAAAGACTTGGGTAAATACTGGTTCAGTAACAGGGTTGTAGATTTGTGGAACCGATTGCCGCGTAGCGTGGTGGAGGTGGGGTCCCTCGATTGTTTCAAGCGCGGGTTGGACAAGTATATGAGTGGGATTGGGTGGTTATAGAATAGGAGCTGCCTCGTATGGGCCAATAGGCCTTCTGCAGTTACCTTTGTTCTTATGTTCTTATGTTCTTATATATCCTTGGCTTTAATTGAAGTACATTATGCTTATTATCAATATTTTGGTGTACTGAACTTGCACTAAATAATGTGAACATATTGTCGCAATGGTTATACTGTAATTATTATTTTTTTGTTCAATAAAGTACCATACAGTATTTAATTGTGAATGGCCTGTCATTCTGCTGCTACAGGGCTTTACATTGATGTATGTTACACTATATCTGGCATATTTGGAAGAGGAGTTGTACAGGTGTTTGATAATGGTATTGTAAATAAGTTTTCTTGTATGTTAATGGATGATATACTATCTCTGTTTGAGTTTATTGGTGATCGAGATACTAAAAGTGAGGCTCTTGAAGTATTCCTTTCCATGGATGGTGTTATAAAGGACTGTCCAATTCTTTGGGGAGCACCTTCTATGTTCACCAATGTACTGGTACAGCCGCTTGAATGCACCGTTGCTGTAGGGATGGCAGAGACTCGTCCAAGAACCTGTTTGCATAAAATGGTGTTAAGCAAGTGTTTAATAGAGTTCTATACAAAGGTCAGATATGTAATGAATGACTGTTTGCAACCCATCCCCCCCACCCCTTAAAATTATAGGATGATTAGGTTGGCAGCTTTTGTATAATCTACATTTTTTTTTTTTTTTTTGAACATTACAGGTACTGTACATGCAAAAATTCATAACTGTGTGAGTAAAATGTAAGTATGCACCTTGAAACAAGAAGATGGTCTGGAGGAAAATTTAGGGTTGAACCCTAAACACAATTCTTTATATTTGGTATCAAAATATGAGCCATTTTACCGTGAAAATGTGAAATCTACTCTCATTAGCTTACGTCATATTGAAAATTAATAAAACTGAATGTAGCGATAAATTACCTTTATTATTGTACAGCATAATTAATTACTACTAACATATTTAGATGCTTATTTTTTTACTTGAGCTTACCTCTGCATGGTTAAACACGTAGACTATTCCTCGTAATAGACTGTGAATGCGTGTAATGAGAAACAATGTGGCAGGCACAATGGAAGGTTGTTCGTCGATCACCTCCCAAGCGTAGAGCAAACGTTCTACCATAAAAGGAGTCCAACAGCCAAAGTTTGTTGATAACATTACCACCCCCTGCCACATGTACATCAGGACTGTCTATTAGCAATTTTAGAAATGTTCTTTTTAAAGGAATATAATGCAAGATACAGAAATGAAAGATATTATAATAACTTTTGAACACTACTAATATATTTTACGAAAGTAGCCTTAGATTAGCTGAAAAAAAGTTAGTAAGAGTATTGATGAATTTGGCAAGGAACTAGCATGCCAGTATGACATTAGAGTATTACTGAAAAATCAGATTTTTTAATTACAGAAAAAGGCATACAGGTAATTTGGAACAATTGACAGTTAAGTATATTGTTTATTCTTCAACTGTAAAGGTTAATTTGGGAGTGCTAGTTTATTTGGATGAATCTTTCTTGAAATATTTATATAAAATTGGGTAGAAATAAATGTGAAATTTACTTGAGAATGTAGATAATACATGTACTATATTAAGGCTTTTGTTAGACATTGTACAACTTGGATGGTAGGTACACCAAAACAGATTTGTACATAAAAAAACTATATGGGGGTGTTAGTTCCAAGCAGATGAGGTCATAGCTATGGCACACAGGTGCCATCTGTTGGCCCTTAGGATGAACACATTTGGCAAGAGAAACCTTCTTTTGTCCAAAATGTACCTGCAGTTCTCTTATCATGTGGGAGGATGGAGCACATGGGTGTGGCTATAGCTTCGTTGACGACTTAAGCAATTATTCAGATTACGTAATGACAGTACAGTACTGTACTAGAAGCGATTTATTTGTTATAATTTGCGTTAAGTATAAATGAATCGTGAATCTAGGTTGTGCAGCTAATTTACTGTACATATTTCTCAATGAACAACTTTGATGATATTTACCTACATTTTCAAAAAATCTTGTGTGCTCCACAGGCTGGCATATTTTTTTTACCATTCCTTAGTATAGCGTAGCAGAAAGAGCCAAATTTAAATGAGAGACTTCTGGAGAGAGAGAGAACAGCTGAGGGTGTCTTGATTTTGTTCTGACTTCTGTTTTGCACATACAGTTAATTAACTAAATCATTAACACACAATGAAGATAATGTGTGACACAAAATGAAATCTAAGCTGCACAAGTAAATGAAAAGGAAATATGCTTGAACGTTTTTATAAATTTATATGTAAGAAAGTGCTCGAACATATTTTTGCTTTGATTTTTCTTCATGATTTAGTCTTCATTAATACCATATTCACATGGTAGTGATTTCTTACCCAACATGTTGCTTTCTTGGTATGTGACCAGTATGAATAAGCTGAAACAGTAGTCTGCAGTGGTGTGTGGTAGCAGAGAATCCAGGCTGTGCGGATGTATAACCCGCCACTCGCCAACAGCGGAATTGCATACACCATCACGAAGAGAACCGTCATGAAAGTTGGTAGAAAGTTTGGCTGGAGAGGTGAGAATATCACAAGCTTTAGGAACTTAAAAAAAAAAATAGTTTTAATTTATAATGTGTAGAATAATTGTATCATATACACTACAATCGCTCTTCCTTCCAGCAATGATGTGTTTACTTTTACAAGTCTATGCTGTCAGGTGTATAGTATAATAAGCAAACACAGTAATGGCCTCTGTGTACTTAATTATGGTTTAAAAGTAGTAAGAGTGAAATCTTATAGAAGATGTATTTATAATTCTGTCTCGCCTAATTGTGACGCTAAACTCCCAAGCAGTGTTTAGGGAGTATGCACATACATGTATATTAGTTGCATAGCATTCCCAGAGTTTTGGTATTTCAGTAACTTCAAAAATTCAATTGTCATTTCAGTTTTATTAAATCTTCAGGCATCCAACTTGGTGACTATAAAATTTTGTTGAATGCAATTTGAAAGCTGTACCTTTTTAAATTCCTGAAATCTATTATGCATATTATAGTACAGTACTGTACACCTGTTGCATTCTCTAATTGGCAACTAGTTTCTGCAGTATCGACTGGTACAGTGAAAGTTACAAAACTTTAGAAAAAATCAAGTCAAAGTAAATTTGTTTAGAGTCATTGAACCAATTTCTTGTTACCTATAATTTAATTTCTATATAATTTTGTTTTCTATTTTTAGTTTTGTAACTTCAACATTGCTCTAAATGTATAAAAATTTTATTCTATATATGAGCAGAGCCTCTAGGTTGCTTCCAGAGCCAGTGTATCTGTCAGGATTTGCCAGGCCCTGTTGACTTTCTCAACCATAAGTATTTTTGGAAGTGATCTTACCACGTACTTTGGAGAAGTAGACAGTGGAGAATTCTCGATCCACTACTGAGCAACTTCTCACTATAAGACAAAAACATTTATAGGAACTTGACTCACCCTGCAAATGATTCTTGGATATGCAAAAACACCTAACTATTGTTCTAGTAGCTAATGGTTAGTACAAGTTGTTGTTACGTCCCAAAAGCTACTAGATGGTGGCATTCTACAGGACAACAGAGTATGCCATACATTTAATGGGGGGGGGACCTTTGACAAGCCACCAGCTTCCTGTCCTCGTCAAGGCCACTAGGGTTAGTGGCCTTCAGGTAAATCGGGTAAAACAACTGGTGGATACCTCAACTCTACAGAGACAGATTCTACAGTTGAAGTTGCTTTGACTAATTGTTCTTTAAAACTTTGTCTCGGTATAGATTCTTCTGTGGTTTAGTGGTGACTACATGTGCATAGTGACTTTAGCCATTTGTTTGTCTGGGCTTCAGCTGATGCTCCAGTCTTGTTTTAAAGTTTGCTTCTCTGATGCTGTTGGTTTGGCTTTTGAGTTACTTACACCTCCTTGGCTATGTCTCGAAAGATTGTCTTGGGCTGAGGGGCCTGAGCATTTTTTTTAACCTCACACACTGTGGAAATTTGTAGTGCCATCATGCTTGTATAGTTCTGGTCCTGGCCTTCCCTCCAGGTCTTGTTTGGAGGATGTAGTGTGACTGCTTGTTGTTTATTCTTTGCCTTTTCCCATGGGTGGCCTTTACCTTGAAGTGTTTCTGGGGCTTAGCGTCCCCGCGGCCTGGTCGTTGACCAGGCCTCCTGGTGTCTTTTTTTTTTTTGTCTCTGAATTTCTCTCTCTGAGAGAGAGAGATAGAGAGAGAGACAGAAAGAGAGAGAGATTGATTCCTGGGTGTGGTCTGTGCTCAAATACAATCAAAGATGGATGAGGTCTCACTTTTTTCTAGTTTTTTCTTTTTAGTTATGCATTACGCGTACAAGTAAGTTGCCTCTCTTTTTGTTCTTTTGTTGTTGGGTGCCTTTACATCCTTATTTCAGAAGGATCAGAAATAGGACTTTGAGTAACATGACTAGCTCCTGTATAAGCATTTCCTCAAATACTTCCATTCCCTTTTTTTTTTTTTACCACTGCCTCCCTGACTTGGTTGTTGCCTTGATATCAGTGGTGTGAACTGCTTGCTCGGCTTGATTGTCTGATAGTGCTGGCATCCTGTGGTTTTTGGGGAACCAGTAGTCAGCAGAGCAATACAGTAATTGGCTTTCCTTGCAGACTCATGGATCACTTACAGTAAAAGTCGAGTTGGTTGATTTGCACTCTTGTCTTATTGTTAATTGAGAATTCTCCATGGTCTCTTTCTGTAAATTATTTAACAAGACTGTTGTACAATACTTTCATAGATACTTAGGGAAAATGTTGACAAAACCTGACATACCTGTCCTGGCTGCTCTGAAAGGAGCTTTTCATATTATGTACTCAGTTTTATTTTCCCTATACTGTACAGTACTGTATTTTTTGTTCATTAAGATGTAGTTGGATGTGTAAATTGGGTAAAAATGACTAAAAGTTTGAAGAGTTCATACCTTTACCTGACAAGCTAGGAAGATGGTCAGTGTTGCGAGTGGATGGTCAGAAGTTGAATAGTCTGTGGTGGTGATGTTACTTGGTATTATGGTCATTGAGAATTCTATTCCATTTTCGTCAGACGCTTGTGTAATTCCCAGTGCAGCAGATTCATGTTGTTTTTCTCTTGTAATGTTAATTAGTATTTTATTGCTAGATGTTGTATTTAAAAATGCATTTTCTAATTCCTCTTTTGATTCATATTTTGTACTGTATATAGGCATCATAGTTGAATTTGTTATATATAATGGTACTATGGTTGGCTTGAAGTGTTCTGCTTTTTCGGTTTTGGAGTCTTGGCTATAGCTTCCTTCGTGTATTTTATTATGGGCAGGAGTTGTTACAGGTATATCAGATTCAGCAGTTACATCTATTGATATATTTTCAGTCTCAAGCTCTTGACAAGGATTGTCTGTATATAATACTGTGGTTTCAGTTACTTGTGTTAGTGAGCTGCTCTGTTTCTGTAGGTCTGTGGTAAGGTATGGTTCTAATGTTGTGTCAGACTTGTCCAAAAACAATTCTGTAATCGAGGAAAGTTCCTCTGGATTGTTAGAAAAATTATAATGTTTATTGATTATTAGTACACCTGAAGTAACTTTATGTATGTCTGGAGTCACTGTTTGGGCATCTGGAGTCACTGTTTGGACATCTAGGGTCACTGTTTGGGTATCTGGGGTCACCGTTTGTGGATTCGAAGTCTTCATTTGTGCACCTGGAGTTCTCATTTTTGTATCGACAAATTCTAGGTAATTAGTATTTATTGCTGGGGTTGTCACATTAGTGATGCTGGCTTTCACCTGTACATGATCCTTCATTGGCTTGTGTATGCCATTTACTGTTTCTGAAATTTTTGAGTCGTTCATTAAACTATTGTTTTGCAGGTTTTTAATTATTGCTGTTGATGATGGCTTGAAAGTCTTGAAATTTATGAAGTCTGATTTGGTTAGGTTGTCTGTTTCATTGTTAGTTTGAATGGGATTTTGTATTTCATTAAGAATGGTGAGATTTTTTAGCTGATTTTTATTGAATAAAGTTTCACCAATTTCTCCAAATATTCGTTGCTGATCCTCATCAGTAATACCAAGAGTGGAGTGCAGCTGTTTAATAATTTGCAGGTTTTCAGTCTGCTTTTCTTTAGTGTGTGCGATTCCATGAAACTTCTCTAGCGCAGTATGTGAAATGTTGCCTCCGACAATACCATAAATTAATCCAATGATAACATTTTCACGATAATCGCTGGACCAGTCATATTGACTGTTGCGTTCCCATAGATTTTCCAGGAGACCTCGATTATTTCGATTTTGTCTGCTGCTTTCCAAATATAGTGTGTTATTCTGTGTATCATATACAGAAAATACCTTTGTGTGACCCCATATCACACTCACAAATATCAAGGCAATAAACCATGATGACATTGTCCACATGAGTGAGAAAGTACTGGTATTTTGAAAGTTACGTGACTGTGGGAATACTGTGAATACGCCCTGATAATGCTCAATAGCAGATCCAAGTGTAGAGAAGTTGCTGGTCACAATTGCAAATATTAGTAAGGAGAATATTAAAAAGTATCTAGAGCATGAATTACTGTACATTAGATTTGTAAAGTACAGACATCCATCACACAACAGACCAATGCCGGTCAGAGCACTCGACACTGTGTCGGATAACCCATAGATTGTAAGCGGCATAATTGGGCTGTGTCGTCTACTTATAATGAAAGTCGAAGCCATTAAATTCAGCAAAAATTCGAGTCCACCAATAATGATGTATAGTGTTGCCACAAAAGATAACCAAACCATTGTATCACGTCTCGGTCCTCTAATTATCTACTATGTTGATAACAAATACAGTATCTTAAGATTCTTGTTCTTTTCCTTATCTTGAAAATATATAATTTCTTGTCACATTTTCAGAAGCAAATGCAACTTTGAAATGCAAGTAACATCTCTCTTGATTTTCACTGGAGTGTGTACTCACTTAGACACTGACAACGCCCTACTGGCACTGAGAGTGGTGCGCATCAGTGGTGCTTTGGGTTTCTGCATATAAATTACCCTTATGCTGTACTATTTCCATAATCAAGCACGGTGTGTGTGTGTATAGGGGTTGGATCAATACATATAGAAAGTCATTTGATAGTTTCCTGTTGCAATAACATTAAAACATATCTCCACTTTCGTTTCTGTCTCGCCACTGTTGTATCTTACACTGCACCTGTCTCGCCACTGTTGTATCTTACACTGCACCTGTCTCGCCACTGTTGTATCTTACACTGCACCTGTCTCGCCACTGTTGTATCTTACACTGCACCTGTCTCGCCACTGTTGTATCTTACACTGCACCTGTCTCGCCACTGTTGTATCTTACACTGCACCTGTCTCGCCACTGTTGTATCTTACACTGCACCTGTCTCGCCACTGTTGTATCTTACACTGCACCTGTCTCGCCACTGTTGTATCTTACACTGCACCTGTCTCGCCACTGGTGCACCTGACACCTATGAGGGAAAAATACTGATATATTCCTTAACATCAGTTAAAGAATGTAGCCATGTTTTCATATGTTTTTGTTATGGTGAATATCAGTTATTCCTGTTTGATAATGCATATACACAATATCACTCCTAGATACACAATATAAAACACAATAAATATACACAATATCCTGCAACAAACAGGATAAAAGAAACATTAGGCTGGAAGTCAGAAAGAAACTGACATCAAACCAGAAATTGGTGCAAAACACAGTCGATCGAAGTAAGCCCCTATTAATTATTGGTTGCAAAAAAAGAGATAACATCTAGCGCAGAAAGAGCCATAGAAGAAGCGAAAGTAGTAGATAAAATTGTTGGGCTAGTGGAAGGTCTTAAAACCAAAGAAAATGTCTGTGACTAGAGGAGAATTGGCAGGTACGAAAAAGGGAGAGGTCTACCCTTAACGGTGCTAAATAGATGGAAGAAGTACTAAGTATTGTTAGGAAATTACAAAGTGATGAGGAAGGGAAATTATGGTCATAAGAAGAGATCTTTCAAAAAGACAGAGAAGCTAAAACAGAACCTCAGAGGCATCAAATGATAATCTATCAAATATTAAGTTGATTTTGATGGAGGGACACTTAAAAATTGCCACAATTTTTTTTTTACATTAATTTTACTTTTAAGAGAGGGGGGGGGGGAATTAACCCCCTGAAGTTTAATCAATATTATTAAAATTGATTCATTCAAGTTGAATAATATCATTTGTGTTGCTACATAGCCTTCCTGGCTTGGTGCCTTTTTTGATAATTACTTGCTAATCATTTAGGTACAAATGGCAGTCTAAAAATTCCAGAGAATTTAGTTGTAAACCCTGCAAATATAAATTTTAATATTGGCAAATTGAAAAGGTAAAGAAAAAAAAAGAGAGAGAGAGAGAGAGAGAGAGATTTATTACAAAAACCTATCATTGAATGTAATGAATTGTCACTTTTTGGATGAGCCCTGGTGTCTCCCAGAAGCTGTCTCACTGAGATATCTCCATGCAAATGGATATCATCAGGCACAGGAGTTCTGTCTGACCTACCAAGAACCAGAAGCCAAACCTGCCCAACCCCTCACAACGACCCAGAGAGTGAGTGACAATTCACCACCATGTCATTCACACAGAATGTGTGTGTGTGTGGGGTGGGTGGGGGGGGGGAAATGGTTAGTAACAGTTGAGAGGTGGGACAAAAGAGCAGAGCTCAACCTCCTGCAAGCACAACTGGGTGAATACTAAACAAGAGGAACACTCAAAATTAGTGTAAAACTTGTAGTACCAAATTATTTGGTACCACCAAATGGTGGTGGCCCAGCTTCTGCATGTAGCCATCGGGAGCTGCCTGGGCTCATCCAGAAAGAGGCGTTTCATTGCATTTCATTGTTTCATCATGTTTTCTCATAATTTTCTCCTTGTAGCCTGCTCATTCTCCTGAGCTGTCTTTTTCTCTGGATTGAGTTTTGATCTTTATTTTGTCCCCTTTGTTCTCAGTTGTTCCTTCAGTCCGTAATACCTTTCCAAAGCTATGTTTTTGATGACGCTCTTCCAGTTATTGGGTTGGAGAACTCTGCTGAAAAATTAGACAGTTGGCTTTTGGAAGGGTCCTATGGTTATCGATTCATGATTTGTTGAGCCAAGGGTCATCACTAGTGGTGCCCGACTGTGGCAGTTCATTGCTACCTGGGCATCCTCCAGATTATATATTTCTAGGATGCAATGTTCATCAGTCCTGTTTCCTTTTGTTTCTTGTTCCAAGACTTGTCTTTCTCCACTTCTCCACAGTGTCATTAATTATAGCCATCCTGCAGTCCACACTCGGGCCCTTGGTGTTCTTAAGTTCGTTCTGGGCTCTCTTCTCCGAGGGTTTAATTTCATTCTCTTCTTCTCTAGTAAGTCTGTGTTCTTATTCTCTGTGGTTACATAGCTTCATGATGCCATTATTTGGCCCCCTCCAGAAAACCAGCATTAAATGTAATGAAGTGTCTCTTTCTTGTTGTGCCTCGGTGGCTGCCTGGGTTCTCCCTTCCCTACAAAGTGCGTTGGTTTGTGGTCTTCAGTTTCGGACTGAGGTGTGTTGACATGGGAGCTGGCAGCTCCTGGCGGAGGATAGCTGTAACAAGAGGTGGGGTTCAAATTAGCTACTTGGTAGATCATTTGGAGAGTCATTTGCAGCTTCATTTCTTGTTTCTCTGTGTATCTTTGCAATTGTCTGTTTTGTTTTGCTTGCTTACTTGATGTTTCCTTGGTGTGGGTGATTGTAAAGAAACCCCAGCTCCCTGCACCTCTGAGGATGGGCCAGTTTCTGACTCTGGTCTCCAGTGGGCTGTTCAGTATTCCTAGGGCTTACATGACTCGTTGTGTTGACATATCTAGTGCAGTGTGTGGTGCAGCTAGTTTCAGAGAGCCACTGAAGTCCAACCAAAAGAAATAAAAGAGGCATTTCATTACATTCAGTGTTGGACTATTAATACTGTATATTTGTGAAATAATAGCAGTACAGCTGTACAGTATATACAGATACCTACAAAATTTCATATGGTATTGGATATGCAGTGGCATTCCTTATTCACTTCCAGTTAGTTCATTTATGCATATTCACTGACGATTTCTATGTTATCCCTACTGCTCTTCAACATGTACCAAAAATACACAATGAAACGGTAATATGTTCAGACTCTTAAAGAGAGCAATAGAATATTTGAATCTCTAAATACAATACTAAAAAAAATTCAAACTAAAATCAACTACTCAGTGAAATTAAACAATGGATATACCTAATGTCCATAAAACAAAAACTAACTTTTTGCATGTCTCCAGGGCATGTTGGCATCCAGGGGAAATAAGCAAGCAAGCAGGCAGCTGCACATGGTACCTCATCAGAAAACCCAATAGATCATCCCCAGCCATAATGACTACAAGCCTCTGATTCCACCTGTTCATCACCAATGAATGGCAAGAGTAGTGGCATATTGTTCTAGGCAATAAACTTCATTGCTGTGATATTTGGCTATGGTTAAATAGCAATAAATATTTTTCACTGAAATTTGCAGTTTATGCTAAATGCCTCAAAAATACTTTCAGCGTCCTAACATACTTGAGACATTTGGGGTTTAAAATATGAGTTAGGGTCCGGTAGTAGCTGCAGGCATTTGGAGGCAATAATGTATGAAAATGTCACTTTGTGGTTGACCTAAATCCCTCGGAAATAATTACCGGTAGTTCCTTTCCATGACTTGGTCAGCATTATGATTGCTATAATAATTAATGGTAAATATGAGGTCATTTTTTTCTTATTGTGTATACAGACGATCACATGCTTCCCGGACATCTTTGGACCGATCTCTAACAAATAACCTATTGTGGGTGAAAAATTGTGAAAAATCTTCAAAATCTGGAGGACAAAATTCTCCAGTACTCTTTATGCTCCTCAGTATGAGAAGTTCAGATATATAAAGCTGAAACCTATTGTAGATGGTTCATAGTTATTTAGATGGTAGAGGAGGCAGATGTTAATAGCATTGGAGTTGACTAAGGTGGAGATTTATGGTGATGAGGTGCCCTCGGTTTGGTCCTAGTGGACAAAACTCGCAAGTCAAGCCTGTCCTTGGGCCAGGCTTGGGGAGTAGAAGAACTCCCAGAACCCCATCAAGCAGGTATCAAGTAGGTAGAGTGCTTGTACCATGCCCACACTGCATTTTGAACACTGTGCCGGAAATGTACTTACTGCCTTTCTATTATGTAATGGTTTATCACCTTCACTTTTAGAAAAATAGTCGAAGAGGGTAGGAAAGCAGAGCAGTGTAGGAAAGAATATTAAGAAATATATCGACCCATCCATTTACACATCTTTAAGAACATCATTGATAACCAACGGCCACATCGTTCCTAGACATCTTCCCACCCCCCCCTCCCAGCACCCTACCACTTGATAACACTAGGTGTATAGTGCTCCTCACATGTCAAACATTTATACTTGCCTCTAAATGGATCTTCTGTTTCAAAATATTTGTTCCATACTGTTGGTTTTGATTTGTAATTTCAAACTATAACTGAGAAAGGATACAGGTAAGCATTGGTTAGGCAATACAGTTGTGGATGGTTGAACTGTCAGATGGTATCATTGAATGAATAATGTGTACTACCTTGAAAAGTTACAATAATAAGTTGACAGATATTCATGAGTAAATATCAGTTTTGTATTGTCTAGTAGGCCTACTACATATTACTATGCCTTTATGTAAATTTTTATAGGAAATAAGTTTGCACAGAAGGAACTTGCTTTTTACTTTAATTTATATTTTGATTTTAACTAAAAAATTGTAATTTAGTTTAAATTGAATGAAAAATTTGTTTTATCTTCTAGATGCTGTGATCTTGCACACCACTAGTCTGGACTTCAAGGCTTGGCTTTAAAGGTTTGATAACTGTATCCTAGCCCAGTTGTGGGCACTGCCATACTCACGCTTGCTTATCCCACTCCTTGCGCTTCCTTCATCTTAGAACAATTGGAAAGGACACTGCATGGCCTGCATGGATATTTATCCTAGGTACTAAGTGGGAAAAATGCCTTTTGCCCTCTATTTCCCAGAAACGCTACTCGACTCTCAAGAAAATTTGGAAATAACAAATGAAGTAACTACTACTGTGACAACAGACAGCCGATTTCCTGGTTTTGACATAACTGAAAGGTACTGGTACTCACATAAGTTGAGCACGCTCTCTAGGATAAGACAGCAACTAAAGAACACGGTCATCAAAGGTAGGCTCAAAATTTTGCTTTTGCAAATGGTGACCACTAACCAACTTGAGCTTCTAGTCAAATACAGTACAAATTAATTTGTATAATTCATAGATAATACATTAATATCTTAGGAATGTGCTTAGCATTTGTTGTTGTTGCTTTGGGTTTATATTTTGGTTTAAAAGTACTGTATTATAATATAACTTAAACTAAAAAAAAATCACTTTCATCTGACATTGCAGAACACAAGTGCTGTGTTCCTGCCAGAACACAGCACTTGGACCACAGTGACTGTTGCATCCTTACAGGGTCATATGAAGACCAACAAACACCCCTAAAAAACTCTAGACTTCAGTTCAAGCCCTAAAGAATCCCAGTCAAGTCAATTGCGTGTTACCCAAATGGGAATAATCTGAACCACCCGATGACCAATCCTAGACAATATGTGCTCTATCTTGCATCTCCCATTTGGTATTCCCAACCCTGTGTGATGCCTCAGACTACTCTTTATCTTCCTTCATATCCTGGCTGTGCTTTCTATCTGCTCACAGGCAGAGCCCAATTCTTAAGTAAATGGTGATCATTTTATTTCCCAAGTCCGGTGCTTACACTGGTTTAGCAGTGTGCTTCTGCTAGTTATCTTTGAATTTGGTATGATGCATCCATTTGGGGGCTTTGGTCTCTTGAATGTTGCATATTTTTGTGTTCTAGTCATAGCTTTTTCTGGTTGAATTCTTGGATTATTGTGTTTTTGTGGTCATGCCACCTGTTGAGCTGTCTTTATGTATATAAATACCCAAATGTAATTACTTAGTCATGGGATGGGAACTACACTTGTGGTTTTGCATCTTCCCAGTAAGCGATGAGTCAATAACGTGGTTGAAGATATGATGACCAAACCACCCATCTGAACATGAAGAAGCAACAACGTTTTGGTCTGTCATAATTTGTAATGGTCCAGGACAGACTGAAACAATGTTTCTTCATTTTCCGATGTGTGGTTTGGACATCATATCTTCCTAGTAATGTCATACGACACTTTTAAAACTACTGACGGTTCAGGCATCCACCACGTTCTTGCTTAACTTGCTCCAACCATCTATCTATCATTCTGTTTGTAAAAGGGGAACTTCATGAGGTTTTATCAGAAACTTTATTTTCTTATCTTGAGTCTACAACCTCTTGGTCTTGAAGTTGAAAGTTAAAAGAAAGTTTGTCAATTCCTGTTACTATTTTGTATGTGGTGATTGTATCTCCTCTTTTTCTTCTATCTTCCAGCTTTAGCACATTTTAACACCTCAAGCCTCTCTCTCCTTGTAGCTCTTCTTTCTCTAGTTTCAGAAGCTATTTAGTAGCATGTTTTTGCACCTTTTCCAGTTTGTTGAATGTACTTCTTGAGATACAGGCACCATACAACCACTGCATATTCCAATTTTTATCTAAAAAAAAAGACAAACAATTTCTTCAGTATTTCACCATCCGTGTATTAAAAGGCGATTCAGAAGTTGGAAAGTGCAGCATAGACTTTGCATAATGTCTTTTATGTGGTCCTCGGGTGACAATTTATTATCAAAAACCACCCCTAGATCTTTTGATTTTTTTTTTAAAGCCTTTTCGCATAATTTGTAGGTTGTGTGTGGCCTACTTTCTCTTATTCCACACTCCACAATGGGGCATTTATTCATGTTGAATTCCATCTGCCACGTGTTGTTCCATCCACTTTTTTTTTTTTTGCAGATCATCTTTTATACGACAATCATTTAAGTCTTTTATCTTCCCTGTTTGCTTATCATCATCAACGAACATGTTTTTATAATCATGTATTCCCTTGTGGTAGATCATTTACATAAACAATGAACATAATTGTTGCTCGAGCTGAATCCTGTGGTACTCTCTACTGTAGTAACATTTCTCCAATCTGATACATTGCCTCAGATTACTGCCTTCATTTTTCTGTCAAAGTTTTCATCCATGCTAGAAGTCTTCCTGTCACCCCTCCAGAATGCCCCAGCTTTCAAAACAGCTTCATGTGTGGAATTCTGTTAAGCCTTTTCTTGGGAAGCCCCCCATGCAACTCCCTGTTGCTAGCACATCCAGTGTGTGTGTGTTATCTACTAAGTGCCATCAGTCACAAAGTTCTCAGACCTACCGGATACCGAGAGCCAGAACCTGGTCCCCTCACAGAGGCACAGGGAGCAGTGGCATTTATATATAAAATTATTCATTTATGCCACAACCTGGGAAGGCATCCAGAAAGTTAGCAAGACAAAACAAACAACAGCTGGCTACCCCAAACTATATAAGCAAAGGATCGAAAAAGTTATGAATTAGCATTTGCTCTCCCCTAGCTTTCCCTCCTTTGGGGACTGGGGGGGGGGGAAGAGGGGCAAGTCATGGCTCGAAGGCCACTCCACTCCACTCTCAGTTCTCCTCTGATGTGTATTGGGCTGCCGCTGTCACTCTGGCCCCTGTGTTTCTTCTGGGTTCTTTTGCCTTGGTGGCTGTTCCTTACACTTTTCAGTGTGCGTGGGCCAGGAGTTTGGAGCTGCATGTGCTGCTCAGGATTGTCTTCCCTAGTACTTCCCTTGCCCTGCTAGGGGTTATCTTCCCTAGTGCTTCCCTTGCCCTGCTAGGGTTATCTTCCCTAGTGCTTCCCTTGCCCTGCTAGGGTTATCTTCCCTAGTACTTCCCTTGCCCTGCTAGGAATTATCTTCCCTAGTGCTTCCCTTGCCCTGCTAGAAGTTATCTTCCCTGGAGTGTTTGGGGATGTTCCTTCAGAGGTCCACCTTGCTTGTGGTAGTTTTTGCCTTGGGGTGACTGGGATTTTTTACCCTCCATTTCTTCCATGGTTTGGAAAGTCATCGACTGGTGGGTCATCACTGGTTACATGCATGCTACACTTCAGCTCACCATGGTAGGTTTTCCTAGCCATGTAACCCAGGCTATGTTGATTTACTAAAGATAATCCAGCATTGCATACCAGTGCCTGGGTGTCCTGCTTAACTTTGCATTTTAGGACCCTGGAAATTCCCTTTGGGTTCGACTGTCCAGTGAATACACCCGTTAATCCCACCCTTGCTATATGCGAGGTTGAAGGGTGCACATTATCTGTGTCATCAGGCGATGCTTATTTGACCTGTTTCTGCCATGCTGCCTGTTGGGTTGGTGACACCTTCGACCCCAAATTGTGTGGGGTGTGACTCTTCATTCCAGCACTCCTGATGACATTCAGGCTTACCAGGCAGCAACTTCCCTTCATCTTAATTTCTCTAGACTGCACCAATCCAGGATGTGTACCCAATTGGATGCCCCACAGATGCCCCGGTGGGTTTTAGAAACTTGGATTTGGAGATGTTAATTCGGCCTTGGCTCCTGCCAGGCCTCCTCTTCCTTCCCCAGTGGGCAGTGTTTGCCCTTCTCTTTCCCCCTCCCCTCCTTCTGGTCCTGAAGCATCTGAGGGCTTCAGGATTAGGGCAGGGTTTAGTTCAGGATGTGGCTCAGGAGGCTTTGATGGTTGCCCATCTGAATTGGACATGGAGGCAGTCGAGTCTCTTGGTCGTCCCGAGATTTCAAGGCTATCTTGCCAGCCATCCCCTTCCTCTGAGGCCTCTCCTCTGGACTCTGTCTTTCCCGTGCAGTGGGCGAGGACAATGGCTCTGCCCTGGGGGCCTATGTCCGCAGCTTCCAGTACTTGGGTCGGAGATGGGGCGTTGGGTCTCGTTCAACTCTTCGTGGAGCCTTTCATCTTTCATAGGGTGTTAGTTTGGCAAAGGCAGAATGCTTTTTTACCCTCTCTCCCTGTGAGATTAAGATTTGAGTGCGGCTTCCCCCTCGAGTTCACTTTCAGGTACCTTTGGGTTCCCAGTGGGCATCCTTCTGGAGGTTTCCATCCTCATCCCTTCTTCCTTCAGCGGTGCATCAGGCCCTGTTCTCTTACTTCCTGCATGATCTGGTTTATGTCTCGGCAATGGACCTGGCCTCTTGAGTTCGGATCTTCCTGATCCTATTGGGTGTGTTAAAATGTTTCTGGGTTGTCCTGCCTGGGTGTTTACATCTGCTCTACCTTAGACCCCAACAGGCAGAGAGCCTCTTTCCCCCCTCCCCCAAAATGAGTGGGAAGGTGGGCAAATGAGTTCTTGCTAGTTTCTTTAGAATTTGATTGTTTACATAGTTGGGGGAGTTTATTCAGCAGGTTTTGAGGCTTTGGTCTCTCTCTCTCTCTCTTTTTTTTTTGACCTGGCAGTTGTTTGTTATGGCTTGCTGACTTTCTAGATGCCTTCCCAGTGAGGTGAAATGTCACTGCTCCCTCTGCCTCTGTGAGGGGGGGGTGGGGCCAGGTTCAGGTACTGGTCCCCAGTAGACATAAAGAACTTCATGGTTGATGTGACCTAGTTGATGGAACCATCTTGGTGTATAGCTTCCGGGAGTCATCGGGACTCGCCCAGAAATTGGCATTTCATTACATTCAATGCCGGTATTTTCTGCGTCCTAATTGAAAATGTATACAGTGTACTGTATACTGTACAGTAAAGATAATTAGGAAATGGTTTATGGATATTGATATATATATAATTACAGTAGTTCAATCAATAATATAATTTGTTAGCTGTTTCATGGGTATTAATTTTATTAGTGCATTTCAGAAATTATGATGAAGGCCTCACTTAGACGCTGTTCGGATCCTCTCCGATGCCAGCATCTTTGGGATGCAATCACCACTATCCGCAACCATAAGCAGTTACCATCATTTGATAGAATCCGCCGCTATATGAGTCGGATGCATAACATGAAATCTGGTAAGTATTTATTTACTATATGGGATGAAATTGTGGTAAAAGTCGAAGACATTGGGGGCAATACAATTACTGTAAAGGTAGAAAATTACAGAAGTGAAGTGCAGTACAGTGGAGGGCGTCTCAAACCTAACCTGATCCACTACATGCTTAGATGCTAATTTGTTCCAGTTGTAAAGTCATTGAGATCAATTGCGTTGGCTAATAATGGAATTGCAACTGATCACATAGATTCCAATGCAGCAAATTCCATATTCACTAGAAGGGAGTCAGGTGGCAAAAACAAGATAGGCTCGATTTGTTTGCTGTTTCTTATTTAGAAAATGATGAATTTGGCTGAGCTGAGATACCAGTACTGTCGTGTTATGGAAATGGATTTGGGATCATACTAATGGAATTTGATTACCAAGAAATTTCAGACTAAATCTTAACCCATAGAAAGAATTTATGGTGTGGGTATGTTAATGAGAATGTCTTGAACAAGAATGTATGCCAAGTTTTAACCATCAACATGTGGCTATTGAAATATGGTCTTACCCACGTATGTTAAAAAAAAATAAAAAAATTGTTTGTCCATATATAACTATTAATCTATATGCAAAATGTAAGAAACTTGAAAAATAAAATCTGTACCATTTTACTGGCTGGGACATGCTATGAAAGGTTGCATGCTGGTGACCTGGGACTGCTTCTGTTGATACCCAGAGCCAGCTTTGTTGACACTGGTATGAGAGACACGACTCCAGCATCACCTTCAATGTTTCCTTCATCATTTATCACTTGTTTTTATATATTTCCTATCGTATGTGTATTGAATAACTTGATTTCTGAGCACATAATTCACAAAACTATGAGAGTGCATTAATAACTAATAAGGATAATGTTTCCAAGCCTACAAATGTATATATGTAGACTATTTATAATGTTTCAGTACTGTTGTATACTTCGGTACATTTTCAACACGTGGGATACTTCATTATAACTATATATAAACAATTTCATTCACCTGGACACTCGGAGCCTCGAACTGCCGACCACTGGGATAATAGCTAGCTGTTTCAGTTCAGCCTACCCAGTGGTAGGCTGAGCTGAACTCTACAGGCGAACAAATCTAGTGGTCACCAGGGCTCGCCTAGATATTGGCATTTTTGATGAACTGTAGGGGTCTAAAGTTCATCAACTACTACTTGGGGCTGTATTAGATACAACTGGGAGTATGGGAAATAAAATATGAGAGAAGGTAATGAGTGGGAGAAGAGCTTTAGGAGAGGTGAATAATATAATGAACGGCAGAAATGTTAGTACTGTATGAGAGTTAAGAAAAGACCAAGAGATAACATTCTACTATCTTTGATATTTAGAAATAAAACTTGGGTATGGAAAGTGGCAGAGTGCTTGTGTGTACAAGCTGTGGAAATTAGTTTTTGAGAAAAACAGTTGTATGTGGGATAGATGCAGTATAACAAGTAAATACATGAGAGATGTTGAACGAGTGAAAGGGATGAAGATATGAAATGCGAATTTTCAGAGTGGATGAAGTGCAATTAACTGAGGTGGTATGGCATTAAATAGTGAATTGAGTACAGTATAGAAAAAAAAGAGCAGAATTTGGATCTGATTGAAGTTCTTTTGCTACTACTGTACTTGGTCTGGAACAAATAATTCCATTTGTGCAGGACTCTATTGTATATGTGATGATGATGAAGATTAAGCCACCACAAGAGGTGGCATGGGCATGAATAGTCCATAGGTGGAAGATGTTTGGAGTGTCTGTGAACTTTGTGTCATTTAACATCTTGGAAGTGTGTCTGGGTGTCTGGACCTATGTGATAAGGAGGGAATATGTTGGTAAATATAAACCTAGTCAAGTTTGAGGGTTTTATGACTAATATAATTGACACGAATATTAAAGAATTTGTAAGGCAAATTAAACATTAATGACATACAGTACAGGAGCTGAATGTGTATATTCAGCTACTTTATATTAAGTGATTAAAAGGTGTATTATTAGTTATACTGTACATTGATTTTAACAGATGAGGTGGAAAAACATCTTGAAGAATGTGCTAGTGACAACCTAATTGCTGTCACTCGCAAGGTGGGCCAAAAAGGTTCCAAGGTTGGCATCGAGCAAGAGGGGTTCAGATTGCCGACACCACCAGTAAGTCCCTTTTTACATGTGCTAAAATGATAGGCTAGTTTAGAGGATAATTAAAAAAAATTAATTTTGTTCAAATTAAATTTTAATTTAAGAGTAGAAGAATAGTGGGATTGAAAGGAAGTAGTCAACAGTTTGAAGTGAAATTAAATCATTAAGAAACCAGATATTAAATATGGTAGAAATATCAAAAGGTGCTACACTAATTATGAGCATGATTTATTTTATGTAGTTGAATGTAATAACGAAACTTATCATGGCCCTAGCTTATATGGTGCATGCGTGGTGGACGTACAAGATACCGGAGTGGTATTTTGTGCTGGTATACCATTCTTGTGAATAGGAAGCCTGTTTGGGAAGGGGGGCTCATTGAGATCCTTGTCACCAAAGGGTGTCACTGTCTGTGCAGTCTGCCATACATTGCATGCCAGACCCTATGGGGCTTAACCTGTCTTACCAAGTGATGTTTGTAGTAGCCATTGGCCACTGCCATTGGTTGAGGAAGCATAGGTTATTGTGGTATGATAAAAATGCAACATTTTGCAGAAATGTATAATTTATATGCAGAATATTACTGGGAATGTCCTGAGTATATGGCATTTTAAACTGAGCATGCTATCTTAATAATTTGCATGGCACATGATAGGAATCACGATACAAGGTGAGTGCAGTACGATAGGAAGCATAATACAAGATAATTATTATGGGAAGCATGATATAAGGTAAGTATGATCAGAAGCATAATACAAGATAATTACGATAGGCACCATGATACTTGTATTGTGCTTCCTATCATCATTATCAAGGTAAGTATGATAGGAGGCATGATACAAAGTATTTATGATAGGAAGCATGCCACAAGATAATTATGATAGGAAGTATGACACAAGATGATGATTATAGGAAATAGAATACAAGGTAATTATAATAGGAAGCATAATACATGGTAATTGTGATAGCAAGCATGATACAAGGCTGTTTTAAACAGCTGCATGAAGAGTGTGCCAGGGAGTTGATTCCTGTAGATAATATAAAATTGTTATGGTCAATGAGCAACTGGCCGAGCAGAACTGAATTACTCGAATTAGCATCTCTTATCATTACAGGAAGAGCCGGATGGTCATGATTGGTATTGCTTTGAATGCCATAAAGGCGGAGATGTGATCTGCTGTTCGAAGTGTTACCGTGTGTTCCACGAGATGTGCATCAACGTAGAAGATCATCCCTATGACAATGAGCCGTTTGTGTGTGTAGTGTGCAAGGTGAAGCTTTACGTCTACTGGCAATGTTTCTCGCATGAGGATTGATTCTATAATGACTTGATGGAGATTGCAGAGATACATAATTTGCTCCAATGAGGGCTTACTTGGCCAGTTATTTTCAGGTTAAAATACGGCATGACTATTGACTCGAGGCCTTTTTATGCTTTGTGTTAATTGTATAAACTAAACCAGCCCATTAACTATATGATATGTTTCCAACTAGTATTACAAATGTTATTTTCCTGAAATGGGTAGTTAGATTTGTTTTATTTGTGAATATATATATATTGATGAATATTAATTGCTGTAGTTTTTCAGAGATCATTTATGCAATTTTTTTTTAATTGATACAGAAACGTTTATATCAGCGAAGTGTTAAAAGTCGGATAAATAGAGATGACCTCAATATGCTCCTAGCATTTACAGTTGAAAGGCTAAAGGAAAGAGTAAGTACTGTACTGTATATATCAATAAATATTTATCTCTTAGTTTACTTCATACATAGATGACATTCATTTCTTTTCATAAATTTAATGCAGTTAAGTCTCCCTTAGATTCTTACCCCATTGAAAATACTTTCTTACTTGAAAATTAAAGTTATTTAAAATAAAATGGTAATTTTCTTTTCTCTTTGGGATTGGGAAGTCAGTGTTTCCAGTAGAGAGTAACACATTTAAGATAATTAAATTTTGGGTTTTGGGGGAATGACCCAATGTATCAATTTGTATTATTGTACAAAAAATTTTCCCATCTTACAGTTACCAGTGAATATCATGGAAAGAGTCATACCAGCCACACAAAAGCCTGGTGTGTTTCTCAGTGACCGAGCAGCTACCAGCCATCAAGCACTTATCCGTTCAGACCAGCTGAGTCGCGTTTCAGCTTCAGAACCTTGGAGAGCACAACTGTTGCTTCACCATCAAATGGATTTAAATACAATGGAACAGAAGACGACAGATTGCCGATATAAAACTATTTACGATTTTGAAATTGACGCCCTGACAATTGTACATAATGTTGTTATATACCAAGGAGGTAAGATTTGTCATATCAGCCTGACTTATGTTGACGGCTGCATGCCTATTGGATTGTAAAGATTTTTGTGACTTAAGTTCATAATACACACAGAAATCACAATTGCGTGATGCATCAAATGAACAAATCCATAAGGGCCGTGACGAGGATTCGAACCTGCATCCGAGAACATCCCAGACGCTGCCTTAATCTACGACAGACGTAGCTAAGTCGATTAAGGCAGCTTCTGGGATGCTCTCGGACGCAGGTTCAAATCCTCGTCACGGCCCTTGTGGATTTGTTCATTTATGTTCATAATGTTGATACTCTATTAAACAGCAACGTTGCTACTGCAGTTCGTATTTGTTGAACATCACGTGATGTGTTTAATTGGCTGTGTATTGTAATATAACTACAAATGGCTATAGTGTGTAAATACTGTCATTCTGTATTTGATGTATGTTAATGTATAGTACAGTATTGGAATTTTCAGTTCACAGCAGTGTAGCAGATATGGCTCGGCAAATGTTGCGGGACTGTCAGTATGATCTGATGGAATTAGAACAGTGTAAAGACTGCTACCGAATGTCTAATGAAAAATCTGACAAATATTGGTTTTGTAAACCTTGTCGACCTCCACATCAACTAGTATATGCCAAACAAAAGGGATTTCCGTATTGGCCAGCAAAGGTTTTTAATTCTTTAAGATTTATGGTGTATAATATCTCCCCACATACAAGCAAAGTTGAATGTGCATATATTGAGTATAGTTGCTACATTATAGAAATAAGATTTTGAGACTATGATAGTGTAAAAGAAAATACAGTAAAGTTCAATATGAGGAGAGTGTTTCACTAAAAGAATAATTTATTTTTCAGGTCATTAGAGTAGAAAATGAGCTGTATGATGTAAGATTCTTTGGAAGTCAACATCAAAGAGCTGTTATAGAGAAATCTCATATTCGTCCAATATCCGTTAATATACACACGCTCCAGGTTAGTCTTTTCGTGCACATTGTATATATTGTAAAGAAGTTATTAATACATTTTACAGACAAAAACATTTTTCTGAATTCTGCACCAAGCAGATGGTCTAATTACCTACCTATGGAAATAGTCATGTAATGTGATAGTGAAATGTAAAGCAACCAGTTAAGTCAAAACATGTAACACAAAGATTTAAATTTAAATTTTGCTACGGAGGGCTAGTTCATTGGGCAGTGTCACTCATCCTGCGAGTGAACATACTGCCAAAACATCATGTACAACATTGTCACTTATACCCAAACACAGCTGGGGACTTGCTTAACTGTCTCAAGTAAACAGAGTGTAAAATTAGGAATTAACATCTTACAACCCTCAGGTTTACATTATCTTGTGGGTGAATAGTAGGGAAAATTTTTAGACTTGTTTCTCTTTGTGGATTCAATGTTTTGGTTGTTTTTGGTACTCTCTAAGACTTATTCTCATGGCTTCATTTTGTATACTTTTTTTTTTTTTTTTTTTTTTTTTTGTGTGTGTGTGTGTGTGTGTGTGTGTGTGTGTGTGGAAATGTGAACAACATTGTGCACATATTCCTCAAAACATATTACTACATAAAATGGTAATGTGTTTGAGAGGGTAAACTGTAAAGCAATGAAAGAAATGGTCTCGTGTGGTGTTTTCTATGTGCCGATTTGGAACAACAATTCCTAGTATTTTCCAAATATAAAATAATTATGTAACTCTCCCACCTAGCTAGATGTGGGGAAACTCTGCTCACTCGACTCAGAGAATATAAGAAAACTATTTATATGTGGAAATTATAATGGATTGTTTCATATATCCCAGGTTAAAAGAACTTCAGCGTGGAATAAAGCTTGTGAAGAATTGAAAAAACACCAGGAGTTTCTCTCAATGATGTCCAATCATGAGCCAGACCATAGAAATATGCGAACAGATTCAGAGGCTCGACATAAAAGTGATTCATTATCTCCTGACCAAGAATCTCGACATACTCACAGGTAAAAATAATTTAGTGCTGAAAATTGAGGTAATTAAAATCATATTGATTTGTAATAGATGTAAATGAATGATTCAACATTTTCAAGTATATTAAGAAAATTGAATTTCTGAGTGTGGGAAGAATACCTGTATATCATTGCAATATGGTACAGTTCTTTAAGGAAAAACTATTACTCTTGAGTTGACACATTTATGAATCTTGATTATTCAGTTGTGAACAATTATATATGCACTACAAAATTAAATATACACTACATACATGGAGAGCCTGTGCTAAAACAGAAGAGCCACTAAGCTAGCACCCAAAAAGTGGCAATTTATTATATTTAAAGCAACATTTTTGTATGTTAAGGTGTATGATTAAAGTTCCGTAATACAAATTCAAAACCAATATAGTTATTGTTTGATTATATGCACTCTCTCTTTCTAACATCAGAAAAAAATTTAAATTTTCTTTTTGTGTGAAATAAATGTGACCACTTAATATATGCCATTATTGTTCCACCACTTGTTGTTTTAACTCCACAACACTCCATGTTTTATGTGCTATTTCACTCAAAATTATTGTGTGAAATATTGTAGCGTGCATTTAAATTTGTTTTTCTCTGGTGGTACATGTGTATGCTTAACTCTTACATGCTGATATTATTGCTTAGTAATATATTGTTCACCTCTCATGTAGAGTTCAAACACAACTGATGCAAACTCCCCAGAAGAAAGAAATAAAGGATGAAGAGGTAGGACATTCATCTATTTTGTAGTATTTGTATTTAATTATGTTTCATTTGAATGTGATTGCAACAGATTCACTAAAATTGTTTCAAGTTGAATTATTAGATATCCTTTTTGGAGATACTTTAGTAGTTTTCACTGAGTAAATTTGTTTATCGCTGGGGCTCCCTGAAGCTACTATCACCGATAGTGTAACACCTGCTCGGTTACATCAGTTGCAGAGTTCTTTACGCATGCTGGGAACCAGAGTCAAAATGTAACCAGAGTCAAAACTGTACTATACTGACGGTTCTGGTCTCCATCGCTTTCTCACTTGGTCCAACCATCTACCACTGATTGCAAAAGAAAACTATCTAATATTTTTTTGCCACCATTTTGTGTGTGTGTGTGTGTGTGTGTGTGTGTGTGTGTGTGTGTGTGTGTGTGTGTGTGTGTGTGTGTGTGTGTGTGTGTGTGTGTGTAAATTAGGGAATTTGACTGTGGCACATTTATATATCTCGAATATATTGAATTAAAAGTACTAGTAGTGTGCTGAGAGCCATATATGTTCAGTATAATTTTCTTATTTAAGCCAAACTAATTAATGTTTCATAATTTTTCAATATTTTTTGGGGAGGATAGGATATAAGTGGAAGTGATGAGGATGTAAATGATGCTAATGATGATGACGATGACGACGACGATGACGACGATGATGATGACGATGAGGAGGATGATGATGATGAGGAGGAGGAGGAACACGTGGGAGAAGAGGAGGAAGAGGAAGAGGAAGATGATGAACCAGAAGAAGAACAAGCATCCTCTATATCATCCACGTCTAAAGCAAAAACCCCAAAGATGAAAAAGGTTAGCAGTGAACAAATTTAGAATTGTTACTGTGTCTGCAAAAGCTAATAAAAATGCTTTTGCTTTCAAAAAATTTTTCTTTTCTTAATGTATGTTGCTGATTTTGTATGTTTATATAGATTTGAATCTCAAGTGGTAAAAAGTCAGAACTGTATTTGATTCGTGACACCGAAACGAACCACATTGTTGTGAGACAGTTTACTTGGAAGATGTTGGCTGGTTGTCTGCTACCTGTCTAAGGGAGCCAGTCGGCCGAGCAGACAGCACGCTGGACTTGTGATCCTGTGGTCCCGGGTTCGATCCCAGGCGCCGGCAAGAAACAATGGGCAGAATTTTTCACCCTATACACCTGTTACCTAGCAGTAAAATAGGTACCTGGGTGTTAGTCAGCTGTCACGGGCTGCTTCCTGTGGGTGGAGGCCTGGTCGAGGGCACTTAAAGCCCCAAAATCATCTCAAGATAACTTCAAGATACCTATTTATCAAACTTGTTTCCTGCCTCTCTCCTCACTGCCATGTAGTTGTTTCTTTTTCATTTGTCTCTCTTGCTTGGCATATCTGCCCCATTGGTTGGGTCAAGCATATGGTCCAGAATCCTTATGCCACAGATGATTTTTTCCTTGTTCTCTGCTGGTCTGGTCATCTTGTCTCCTCTGCCTAGTTCTGACCCTGACTGCTGCTAACCACTTTTATACACAATTCATGGGGTCTTACAGATCTCTTTCTACCTTTCTGAAATGTGTGGTAAAGGCAGTTGAAGTATGTCATAACTGTGGGCTGTTAAGTTGTATAGAGCATGGCAGTGATTTGGTGTCCTGGGTGGACCACATAGCCTATGGAAACAACCTAGAGGCTCTTAGCTCAGAAAAACTTAGAATGTCAAAAGAATGCTAGAAGGAAAGTGTTGTTGCTAAGGCAACAACTAAAGTTTATAAGAATCGGCTAAGGAAACTCTTAAATCACAATAAAATGAAAAGAACCAGAGCAGACATTATCTTATTGTACTAAACAATCAGAGTAGACCATTTCCATTATGATTTGTTCTCTTTAACTTTGCAGAAGGAACCTCCAGCCCCTGAGGATGTAGTATCTTCATCAAGTCAGGAACTGCCAACACATTCTGTTGGTATACAAACTTCAACAAGACTAATGAAGGTTGGTGCTTCAGCAGCCTTGGTACTTCCAAGAAAAAGTATATGATGATGAAATCTTTAATACTCCCTATTATAGGTGGCATCTGCACAGGCTAATGGAAGCTGTTATATTGGATTCATCAAATTTGCAATTAAATGCATTATAAAGTATCAAAATAGTAATGTGGTGACTCTACCACCACACACTCTATGGTGCAAACAACCCCCATATTTCCTGTGATAGACGTGGAGGAGTTAGTGCTGGGGAACCATCCTCTGTCTTCTTTACGGGCTATTCATGCCTGTGCCACCTCCTGGTTGGCTTAATCTTAATCAATCAATCTGTCTTCTCCCCACTCAAGGCCAAGTACCTCCCATGAAATTGGGAATTGTTTACTGCTAATGGATTGATTGAATATTGCATTACAGTGGTTAAATTGGAAAAATAATGTGTGTGGTCTTTGTGTAGTTTGATGTCTTCATTCTACATTTGGCCTACTGTGCATTGCTAAATAACCTTTTCTATTAAGAACAAAATTTTGTGTAATTTGTTCAATTTGCTACTTTTTATAATGATTTATATTTTTTATTCTAGTCTCTAGTTAAACATATAATCTAAGAAATAATTTTTTTGAGAAAAAATATTGAAGATTAAATAATTAAGTTATGAATACCTTCTCCTTATCAGATGGCACTGGAGGAATTTGGTGAAAGGAGCAACAAGAGAACTAAAGACACAGAGAAAGCAATGAGAGACCTGGCTGAAAAGGTAAACCTGCTTGTATTATTTTGTGTACTAGAAGCATTTATTGTCACCTTTTCTGGTTGGTGAAATATCTAACAATACACTTTAGAATGATATTTTGTTGCTTAACCACTGTGCTGCGCACCTGGTTTTGGCAAAAAACTTCATGATGCAATTGTTAAGGACATATTTTTGTTGTTTTTATATATGTTCTGGTAAAGTTAATGTCTAAATGTTTCCACACTCAACTATTTTCATTTCAAAACACACAGATTGATGAAAACATTTAAAAAACACTAAAATATAGCCTAATTAAAAATACAGTATAGCAAAAACTCTCGGAGCACCTCAACGCGCTCTGCGCAGCACAATGGTTAAACTAACCAAATCTAAATAGACTGAACTTGAACTGTGCCTTTGTTGCACAGGTGTTAAAAATCTTAAATCTTGATAATTAGCATTTAAGGAAGAGCAAGAGCAATTGATACATTTTTTGTATTAGCTGGAGTGAAATTAACATAGAGCTACTGGTGATAGCATCACAAGGGCAGCTCTGGGAAGCTCTCTGAGCTTATCTTCTGATAATGTTGGAATAGACTAACCACTGCCAGGTACCTGTGAGAGAGACTGCTTACTGGGGGACAAGGGCCCAGCAATTTTCCTTTAATCCCATGTGCAAAGCTTAAGGAATATGGGATCAGAGATCAAGCTAGTAGAGATATAAATTGCTCTTAAAGCATTGAAGGAAAGTCCTGAAACCTTTAAGGTCTCTTCTTGAGGTGGTTCCAGTGATCAATATTACCATGATGTATTCTAACCAAGCCTCCTGGTTCATCGGTCAGTTGGACTGTTAAAAGCTGCTGCATGCAGTGTGGAGAAAAGTCTTGGGCTGTTAATGTTTACAGAGTTGTCCCGAAGAGTACTTGTTACACCCCCCTACTTTTCAATGGGGATATTACCTACATTCTGCCATGGACCTTCTAAAGATCATTCCAAGATGTATCAAGTGTTCAACAGAATGTCAACCTGCCATAACAGCATGATCCTAAAGACTTTTAAGCAAAACTTCCCCATTTCCAGAACACAGAGGGAAGAGGCTGACATGGGGTACGGATTTTCCAAAATACAGTATATTCAAGTTTAGTGCACCTATCATAAGTTGTAATAAGAAATGGTTACTGTCCAGAATTTTTCTTATAAATGATTCTTGCCCATATAATTAAAAAAAAATGTAATTACTTGCAATCACTTCACTGTACTTACTTAATTATATCCGATTTCAGCTAAGACGAGAGTATGAAGCAGAGAAACAAAAAGTAATCCAGTCAACCATGAAGCAGGTGGAGAAGGAGGTTGATAGAGTCAAGGATGAGTACCGAACTAAGATAAATGAAATAGAAGACAAGCACAAACACGTGGTATCTGACACAAAGAAAAAACAGTGGGTATGTAACTAAAGTGATGAATTTGCTGCATATTTTATGCTTGTTCTCTACCTTTATCCTATTCCAAAATAGCTTAACATTGTTTTATCCTTTTCTAATGATTGTTCTAATCTCTTCGAATGCTGGGGGGGCATTCTGGGATTCCCATGCTTGTTTATACAGCACATCATAGTCGCCATTCTTAGCCTGGTTATTTTTGGCTGCAATTGGTATCTGTTCTTCCAGCAATCAGCCCAGATGCCTGGGATTCCTACTTGATTAGCAGCCTTCAGACCTGTTAGATCTCTTCAGCACGGCAGGCAACACAATGAAGACAGAAAGAATGACCATCAACATGTAGCTGTGCCAAAGGACATCCCTCAGACTCTCACATAGCAGGTGCAGGCTTGGCATGTTGATCCATAACAAGCCACGATGAAGACCCCGTGAGGATTGCTAGGGCCTAGAGGTAAAGGCCATGCAGGACACCCTGGGCACTAGAGGCATTCTCCGAAAGAATTGACACCAAATGAGGACCTAAGGATAAACACGGCTGCATGCTGTATGTGCAAGAATGTAAACCCCTAGTGCACCCCTCAAAAATAAAACTCTGAGTGCCCCAACCTCAGAGCCTTGTAGAAGACCCTTGCATTATTCAGGGCAAAGCACCCTACACAGTAGTCTGACCTTTCAGGGATGAACTCCCAAACTTACTAAAGAAGTCACTCTGTCAGAGTAGGGAAAATCTCAAATGAGAACCTAGGAAAGAGATGCCCTAAACACATGGAGCTTGAGGCAAAACATGACCAAAGTCCACACAACAAATTAAGCTTGTAAACACATGCCAGTGAAGCAAACACTAAACTTGAAAATAATATGCAAGCAAATGGCCCCACACAGGACAGGGTCCAAAGGATGGCCAGCACTTGTCTAGAAAAAGTGTGGACCCACAAAAGCTGTTGACTCAAGGAGAGGTCCTCATAGGTGTACATCTGCAAAAGGACTCCCGTGTATTATCATGGGAGTCGGTGGCACCATCACCATTCTGGAAATGGTGCCACCTAGTGGCAGGCTGATGAGACCTGTCAATCAACTGTCAATCAACTGGTGTACAGATTCCAAACCTTACTGGGCTCCGTCGTATCTACATTTGAAACTGTGTATGGAGTCAGCTTCCGCCACATCACTGCCTAATGCATTCCATCTGTTAACTACTCAGACACTGAAAGTTCTTTCTAACATCCCTGTGGCTCATTTGGCTACTCAGTTTCCACCTGTGTCCCCTTGTTCACGTACCACCCGTGTTAAACAGTTTATCCTTATCAACCCTGTCAATTCCTCTGAGAATTTTGTAGGTGGTGATTATGTCTCCCCTTACTCTTCTGTCTTCCAGTGTCGGGAGGTGCATTTCACGCAGCCTCTCCTCGTAACTCATGCTTCTCAGTTCTGGGACTAGCCTAGCTATCTAGAGATAGCTAGGCTAGTCCTAGAGATAGCTAATGTGTAGCTATCTCCATGCTAGTGAGAGGAAGCCACCATTTGATCCTTCCAGAAAATTCCAATGACAAACTGAGATGTTGATCTAAATTTAAAATTGCTTGATTTTTCTTAAAAAATAAATAATAATAAAAGCTTTCCGATTTTTATATCGGGGAGTTTAGTGTGTGTGTGTGTATGTAATAAGTTTGTATTATATTGCAGTGTTGGACATGTGAAGCCGAGGCAATCTACCATTGCTGCTGGAACACGGCCTACTGCTCTATTGAGTGTCAACAAGTTCATTGGCATAAGGAGCATAAAAAACTGTGTCGCAGAAAGAGGTAACTTTGTGCATATAGGGGAACAAGTTGAGGGTCGAGAGATAAGAGAATATTTTTATGGATTTTTGGAAAAAATTTAAAATTGTGCTATTTGATTAGAGTTTGCATGGTTACATACTGTACAAAGTTTATTACAGTACACCAGTTGTAAAAATTTTATGAAACGGGATAATGTGTAATATGTGGAAAGTGACTCTTTCCAGTGAGAATCCCTAAGTAGGTTAAGGTGATCAGAATGTATAGTAAGGTACATGACCATGTTTACTTTTATACTGTAAATAGCACCCCATATATTACCTTTGTCATGGTTTTTGAAGCAGCTGTTGACTCAGCCACCTGATGTGAGAAGCATCAAGGGTTGCATAGATAGGTGAAGAACCTTGGAGTGCAGCTTGGCTAGAAGACGACGTCAGTCAGCTGCTGCTGCTCCACTTGGACATTACCTGCAGATTTCTGGTGAAGTTTTTTACATTTGCAGATAGTATTTGGTATCAAATTATTTGAATGTGTAAGATTTTGGTTTTGATTAGTGTGTGATGCAATTTTTTCAAGGCAAGCATGTACGTATGTGCACAAAGCTGTTGAGTGCATTACCCGATTTGAATTTTACCTCCACCACAGGTGACCGATCCATTCATACAATTATAGACAACTCACTAGGTAGCCATTTTAGAGTGTGCGCATGTGTTGAACTGCTGCTGTGGTCAGCAATTAATCTGCCGAGTCAAATATGTTTCTTCCCATAGATAAAGCGATGACAGTTGTTGGTAGGAATACTGTATAAAGAAGATAGCTTGCTGGCAAGCATGTAAATTTATACCCCCTACCTTCATTACATGGTCATGAAGCACAGGCTGGTGCAAGGATACATGAATACAGTAACACATTAGTTTCCCACCAGTCACTAAAGTCCCTCTCGAGGAAGTGATACTCGGTTGCATATTGTGTGTGTTATTGTTGCTCGCACATTATTGAGTTGAATCTTCATTCTCATCTTTGTATTCACTCAAAACTGTTGCAATTAATGAGTGACGATTTTTTATTTGTAAAAATTATCATATTTATTTTACAATGTTTGTTAGAAAATTACTTTGTTCTGAGTTGTTCTCAGGTTGACAATCTGATGATGAATCTTCTGTGAAGAATGATCTTTTGGGGCTGTACATTATTGTGGTCAGGATTTTTTCATAGATTTATGTAATGTTTAGGAATAAAGTATATTGATTTTTGCCTTATGAAAACACATTATTTTACAGTTTAGGCAGCTTATTATTGTAGGTACTCTAATTATTTTTCTGATTGCAGCCCTGTGAAGATAAAAAAATTGTAGTTTTTGGGTAGTAATGTGTCAGGGATACTTTGATTTAATGCAAAAATGTCTAATTATAATATACAGTACAGTATTTAGTTTCAGCAGAGTGGTAATATTTATATTTTCTGGGGGGAACATCCACGGTGTCTCCCTGAAGCTATCTTGCTGAGATTGCTCTATAATAATAGGTCACATCAAATGTTTAAGTTCTGTTTGGCCTACCAGGGACAAGGACCAGAACTTGGACCCCTCACAGAAGCGCATGGAGCGCGTGACAATTTGCCACCTGAAAAAGCCTCCAGAAATTCGGCAAAGCCTTACAGAGCTGGAGTGTTCACAGAAAATGAAGCCTCAAAACCATCGCACAACTCCCCAAACTATTCACACAGATTTAGGGACTTGCTCAAACTAGCTCAAAACTCATTGGTGACAATTACCACCACCAGGCAGCTCAGCCCCACTCTCGGCTGGCTCCCAATCTCGGCTCTGTTGCAGATGTGGTGGACAGTACCTCTGCCTTTACTGTTAGGTCTGCCATTCTTGAGAAAGTACCATCTCTTCAAGTTAAGTGCCGATTATCCTTGGACTTTGTCCTTCAAGGGCCATTTGCTTGTTGCATTGATCCTTATTTTAATATTAGTTTCACATGCAAGTTTTTTTATCTAGCTTTTTGTGTGGGATTGTTTTTTATTTATTTTTCTTCTGCATGCATTCAGGGTTGTCTTCCCCGCGTGCCTGCTAAATCTGCCCATGCACAGTCGAGAGTTATCTTCTCTGGTGTGTTCGGGAGGTTGCCGCTGAAAGGCCTGGACACCATGTTAAAGACCTTGCCTTGGGCTAACCATGAATCTTTGATTCCTTTGTTGAAGTCCTTGTCTCTGTGCATTCTGTCGATTGTGGTGGGGGGTTCACATGATTGTTTAAACACCATGCTGCAGTTATCATTTGTAGCCTGGTGGTTTTAGCTGCATTTGGTGACTATTCTTCTAGCATGCGGCCCCAGTGCCTAGGGTTTCTGCTTAGCTACCTTCAGACCCTGGTAATCCCCTTGCAGGTGTCTGGCGTGGTCTGTTATGGAACAGCACATAGAGTCCACCATTGCTGAGTGCAAGTTTGAAGGGTGCTTTTTATCTGTGCTGCCTGACAATGAGCATTGTTTCTACCTGCCATGCTGCCTCCTTTTCCTTTCCCCATTGGCATGGTTAGCTCTGCTTGTGGTCTTTTCTCCCCAGGTACTGCCTCCAAAACATTTCAGGGTTTCAGAGTTAGTTGAACATTTTGGGGGATGGATGTGTTTGGGAAGGACTTTGGCTTTGCTGCAGATCCTGGGCTTCTGGGGCCCATTATGTTCACAAGTTCACAGCTAAGGCCACTGTCTTCTACAACATGTCCTGGCATGATATTTGGACATGGTGGTTTTTGCATTCTAGCAGGGTTGTGGTGACCCAGTATTTAGTCAGTGTTCCTGGTGCTAGTTGTGTGTTACTGTGGGCTGTGTCTCCTGGCCTGGGTTCTCTCCTTTGTACTAGGACCTGCCACCTCTCCTCCTCCTCCCTGATTTTGTTCTCTGTGGTTAGTTAACTTCAGGGAACCACTGGGTGGTTCTCCCTAGAAACTAGGCATTGAATGCACTGAAATGCCACATTCTGGAGGAGCCCCGGTGACCTCCTCTCCTCCCCTCCTTAGTTTGTTGGTTCATTGCTAGGTTGTTCACCTGCTCCAGAACTAAGATAAGGAGCCAGCTGAGGCCTGGGGCTGGACCACCTGGTGGTGGTAAACAGGGCTAACGAGTTTCAAGCTAGTTTGAGTGAATCCCTCGTTCTGCGTTGTTTTCCGAGTTTGTTTTGAGGCTTCATTTTCTATGAACCTTCCTGTTGTCTGTAAAGCTTCACTAACTTTCTGGAGTTCTTTTTTCAGTGGAGTGGCGAATTGTCACTCACTTTCTCTACCCTGTTTTCAAGCTTGGGTCTGGGCTGGGCTTGGGAAGTAGAACTCTCATAACCCCATCCATGTACAATTCATCCTGGTACAATCCATCCAGGTACCTCTGTGAGGATGGTGGGAGGGGGGAGCAGTTCTTATTCTGGTCCCCAGTAGGCCAAGTCTAACTTCAATGAATGATGTGACCTTTTAGTATGGAGCATCTCGAAGATAACTTCAAGAAACCACTGAGGCTCCTCCAGGAAAAGTATTCCATTATATTCAATGCTGGGCTTTTATTATTATGATATGAAGTCAGGTAATGTTAAACATTTTATCTCTATTAAAATATCAATTATCAATGTTAATATGTTTGTAGAATTTGTAAACTTTATAGTTTTCCTAAATTGTTGTTTTGTGGTGCAGTTAACGAATAAAATAATTTATGTTTACTGTATTTATGTAATTTCTTAAAGCTGATTTCTGATGAACCAACATTCTTCTAGGCAAAAACCTATAATTAAATGTAAAATCCATGCTCTCCGGAGTAATATTGCAGGAACCCTTTAGCCTAGTGTAGTTGCTCAGAATCAATATTCTGTTAATATTTGTTAAGATTGAAGTTGTTTTTGTAATCATTTATCAGGTATTATTATATATTAATGATAAACAAAATTGATTTTGAGTTCTTTAAAGTAAAAATAGCTGTATTATTATTATTATTATTATTATTAACAAATTTATAGGTACTGTATCTAGGTTTTATCCTAAATCGAACTTAGTTATGGATAATGGCAGCTGCAAAGCAGATGTTTTGGGAAAACTCAAGTGAGATTTTCCCTGCTGTTCAAGTCAAACTTGACAATAACATTGTTATTTTATATTAGTGTGTCTTCTGATTAACAAAATAGGTAAGATGTTTTAATTATGTGGTGCCAAAACATGGTTGATTGATGCCTATAGTATTTTTGTCATATACAGTATTTGTTATGGTGGGTATCTTATCTTGAGGTTATCTTGAGATGATTTCGGGGCTTTAGTGTCCCCGCGGCCCGGTCCTCGACCAGGCCTCCACCCCCAGGAAGCAGCCCGTGACAGCTGACTAACTCCCAGGTACCTATTTACTGCTAGGTAACAGGGCCATTCAGGGTGAAAGAAACTTTGACCATTTGTTTCTGCCTCGTGATGGAATCGAACCCGCACCACAGAATTACGAGTCCTGCGCGCTATCCACCAAGCTACGAGGCCCCCTAGGCTCAAGAATTGTTGACAGTAGAGGTCAGAGTGCTACTAGGAGTGCTTATCGTGCTCCCTATAAAGCCTGAAGCATTTTGTCAAGGTTAGTGATGGCATTTCTTATGTACTGTATATGAGAATCAGCCTTGATGCTTGCAAAGATTCTAGTTGTACTGTAAATTAGGCTGAAAGATACATCTCATGGTATACAGATGTATAATATAGACATGTCTTGGATGGTTGAGTTAGAACACAAAGATGATTGGCAGAGTTTTGATGAACTTAAAACGGCAATACAGTTAGGAGTGAAGTTAGTTGTGGATTTTTTCATTGTTATTCATTACTGAACAGTTTTGTTTGCCAATTAAATAAATTGACATATCAATAACTGCCTTACCCATAACAAAGATGATCACTCGGTAATCTTTATTTTCGACTATCAAACGTCATGATTTATATACGACATTACAGTCGGAGGAATAATTCAAAGGAGTGCAAAATATAATAATGCACTAATTCACACCTCTATTCACGGTTTTTGGTCTCTTGGCTAAATTTTGTATTTGTCATTATTGATATGCTACAATACAGAGAGATCCAGTGCTGTAATAAGTTTGGTTTACAGTTTAGTAACCATAGAACTCCTTATCCATGGCCAAAGATTGATGATACAATGCATTTCTCATTTCTGCAGTGCATTGATTTTTGCATTCAAAGCAAGTTCGTATGTACAGTACATCATCATAGTTTATTTCTACATATTTATGTAAAATGCCACTTAAGCTCATCATTTAACCATAACTGTCAAATCTGTTACTTGTGTATTCAATTTAAAAAAATTAAAGACATCATCCAAGCTTGCACTTGCTAAAGACCCAACATTAACGTTCAGATCTTTTATTGAAGAATGTCGGTATAAGCCCTTATTCTTGGGCTAAAATGCTGATAGTAGGATATGGTTGATATAAGAGCAAACTGCTGAATGGATAAGCTGCTTAATATATAAAAAAGCTGAAATAGTAGCAAGAACACCTGAACAAATAGAAAATTTGAATCTCTGAATGATTTGAAAAATGTGTGACATACCATCATGGAGGGCAGTGTTATGTCACTCGTTGAACAAAAACTAAGCACGAGATAATTAGTCAGATTACTTTCCCAGCACTAGTGAGTGGGTCAGGTGGGCTGCCAGACATTCTGTAGGCATTTTGTGTGTTAATTTTATCTCCATAACTAAAACGATTCAAAAAGTCATCTGCAGCTGCATATATTGTCTTATAGTTGTGATGATGTCTCATCATTCTGTTCATCTGTAGGCATTAGTTGGTCAGGTGATCAGCCATTTCCTGGTATCATTAGCATACATTCAGCTTCCATCCAATGATACCAATGGATTAGTCACATAATTTTTATTGCTATGTTTTTTTTATAATTGATAACAGTGTGCATGGTAGTAACTTGGTGCAACAGTGCTGTAAGTACTGTAAGACTTTGACTCTCGTATGTGAGATAACCATAACCTTATCGTAGGAAGTCACAAGTGCAAAGCTTGTAAAATAAAGAAAGAATCGTATATCATTTCTACTGGAAGCTTGAGAGAAGTTTCAGTGGTTTACAGTCAACTTGTCATTTTTCAGAATGTATTTTACATGTTTAATGTGTTGTGTAATTTTATAATACTTTACTGTATTGTAATGATAAAGGTGTCTTAGATGTACTTATGGAGTGGTACACACTGTAGTCAGTCATTAAGTAATAGGAAAAAAAAAGTGTTCTTTTTCATTCAATCTTTGATAGTATTTTTTCTTATTAAATGTAATTACACTCAGCATATATGTGATTAGGCATTTTTCTATATATGTTGCCAAAGTGAGTTTTGGAATAAGCAGTGTAACAGGTTTTTTGAAGGAGCCTATACTACCTCAGATTGGAATGTCATTGGTGAATATCCTTTAGTTTTAATTTATTGATTAGTCTTGTTTTTAAAGTTAAGACCTTATGATTTGTGTTTGCAGGCTCATCTGGTAAAAGTCAGATTTAGAACTTTACTGTCTGAAGGGCAGTTTATAAATGTGCAACTTGGTCAGAGAAGTGGTTGCTAAGCTTGATCATGTGCTCAGCGAAAAAGTAATTGATTTCATCTTTCAATCTGCTCCACCAGGTAGTAGAGTTACTTAAGTGTACATACTGCTAGATAGGGCAAGTCCAGATCATTCCTTCCTGTTGAAAATGTTGTAGTTTCCTTCATGGTCAACATTAGGATAAGTTATATAGATTATATAGCTAGACTAGTGTTCTAGCATCTTGGTTTAATTGGAAGAGGAGTTCTCCGAAGGTCATCTTCATTCAAGGTGAAGAAAAGGAAATAAATAACTGTAGAATGTATTACACTTACTATAAAATTTACACAGTGTAATTCACTGTTAATTCACAAATTCAATGTTAACCAGAGTGAAGGATTTTGACTTGCCTTGTCTTGCGAAATATGTTACTGAAGATATTTTGTAGATGTCAAATATCAGCAGTAATTTAACCAACTACTGTTCCTGAACATTAAGAAAGACCTCTATATTCAGCCTGATGCATGTGAAGAAAAGTATGTCATAGTCCAAAACTATTCTCCTTTGTTGTGCTTTAATAACATTTTGATCTGCAACATTTCAACATGTCGAGAATACCTCTTTATTTGTTATTTGTATAGCTTGCTAGCATTTGAATTCATTAATATTTTCCTGTTTATATCTAATTTGGCTATAGCTGAAGATGAAAACTTATCATTGACATTAGTAAGCTTTTTAGCCTTCATTTGTAAAGTTATATTTTGTGTTATGTTTAGCATACATGTCATTTCAGTTATTATATGTGTATGCACATCACCTCAACACTACCTCATTCTAAGTGGCTTTTGCTTTTTAAATTTTGACTTTCTGATGTTTATTCTTTTTAAGAAACATTTATTAGATGATTACTTTCTACACAAGCAAAAATATTGTTTAGTTCCACTCTCCCCCCCAAAATCTTGTGGAGCCTCCTTTATTCTTCCTTGTAGTTTACTTGTTGTTGACCAGACCACTCACTAGAAGGTGAAGGGACGACAACGTTTCGGTCCATCCTGGACCATTCTCAAGTCGATTGTTACCTTGAGTTTACCTTGAGGTGGTTCTATTTACTACCATATTTTAAGAAACATATCAAAGCTTGCAGCTGACCTTTGCATTAATTCTTCCTTCATACCATAGATATTTATGGATCAGCCACGCTCATTACACATTCCATTCCTTAGTCTATTCACTGTTTATGCTGAGAATTTGTTTATAATTTCATTGATATATTCAAAATTCCGTTTGTATTTATGTGTAATAGCATAAGAATTTAAGGGTAACACTAATGAGAGATTGAGAGAAAGATTAGTTTGATGTTACTTTCCAAAGCTCAAGTGATGATACCATTTTGGTGATGGTGAATCAAAAGGATTTGTTATGGCTTTTTGTGGTACAACATCCGACACATCACCATGTTCAAACTCATCTACCAAACAGCTGAATGTCGCTTCTCTTTTGGGAAACGAATGGCTTGAGAATTTTCAACCATAAGTAACCCTATGTACTTGGGTGTCTAGAGAATATGTGAAAAGTCACTATTCTTTATTGCAACATACTAGTTCCCAATGCACAACAAGAGAGTACTTTGATATAAGAATAAGAAGCGTATTTATTTTAACATGAAGAATTATTATTGTGCAGCTATAAGAAAGTACATTGAAATCAGAATGAAAGTATATTTATTTTATTTTTACATGTATAGTAATGTACTATGAAAATTTAGTGCAGAATAGTATTTAAAAATAAATAAATTTGTAATATGCATATAAGATACAGTATTGGTATTATGTGGTGTAGTTGTGTGCAAGGTATTTAGGAGGTAATAAAAGCTTGCATTACGTTAGTAAAGTCATGAGTAAAGTCACGTGTACCATTTTTCTACTGCCCCTGCCCCCCCCCCCCCCCCCCCCCCCCCCGCTCCCTTTTTTTCGACACCAGATAGCCAAGAAATATCGATTTGAAAGTTGATAATTATCATTGCCACTCAAAACTCGTCATGCACTTAATTGGGAGTAGTTCATCACAGAGGTAGAAGGTAAAATTGGCCGAGGGATTTCTGTGCTTTGCACAGCTATTCTTCGTAATGTTAATGAGAGAGTTATACCATTTCTCTCATTATTTGTTATGGTTTATGCATTTGTGCAATAATATTGAGCAATATTTTGATACTGTTTATATCTTTAAAAGTTGATTTCACAATCATGAATTACTGTACTGTGTATACTTATTATTAGTGTTGCAGCTGAACAAAAGTGATGGTTTTTTTTTAAATTAAAAATGTGATTATATTTTTCATTTTAATAACATTGGTATTGATAAAACAGGCCAAGGTAACTAAATGTATGTTTAAGAAGTTTCACGAGTGTGTAGCCAAAGAAAGTAGAGGATTTTAGAAGTATGGTAATAGAAAGTAAGGAATATAGTACAATGAAAAATTTTGGGATTCAGTAATTGATTAATAACATTTGTCTAAAATACTTCTGATACGTGTTTTGATATGTAATAAAACACACAATCTGTTCACTGACAATCATATATTAGAGTATATTATATAAGATAATTAAGTAGATTTGTTTGAAGTTTAAGGTAAGAAAAATAACAAATAACAAATGGTTTATTGGTAAATAATTGGATAAGAAACATGCTCCAGAGGTGGCTTTCAACTGAAGACAGATCTAAGTGCTTGTTGATGTTTCTTCAACTGGCAGATTGACTTGTTCTTGAGATTTATTGGCTACCTAGTGGTGGAAACCTTAAATAATTTATTTGCAAGTTACAGTAGAG